AAATTTATCAACTCCATAAGGCTATTTGAGTTGCTATTTTCTGTCTGATTTGCAGAGTAAGGTACCCAGCATCACGTGAACCCCCAACCCCTAATGTTTTGCTCTCTGCCCCACGAAAATTCCATCCATCACCCTTTGGTGATGTGGTGTGTGTCTCTAGGGGTGGGGGGTGAGTATTTTTTTTGGTGCAGATGGCACAGAGCCACCTCCAGGAGTTTGCTGACATTTGGCTGATGCTGGTTTGAAATCTGCACTGTATTTAGAGCATGATCTTATTGTAGCCTGGGGAATCGCAGAGAAGCATCACTTTTCACTGTCTGTCCTTCTTTCTGCAGAAATTCATGGCCAAGCAGAAGGACGAGGGTAACAGCGGGGAAGAACGGAGTTCGAGGTGATCAGAGGAAAGAGGAGTTGTTTCAGCGAGTTAAACTTAGGGTCCAGTCAATTTTGTGTATTTTGCTATGATTTAATTTGTAATTTTGTTTCAGAAGCAAGCATTCATGTTGTATAAATTTGAGCTCAGTATAGACCGACTAAAAAAGATGTATGGTGGCTTTGATTTGTATATCAAATCATCCGACTCGCAAGAGATTTCTTTTACAAGTGTCGACATGAAATAAATGTTCTTATTGTATAGTTAACACCAGGGGATGGCGTTTGGCGTGGTTTCTTGTCATCCAGAGGGCTAAAAAAACACGGCAGAGGGGGGGGATTCACCCCAGAGATCTCCCAGGTGCCGCTTTGCAGATGACATTTCCCATTCTTCGCGTGCTCCAGTCTTACTGCCCCAAATCAGCGACTATTGTGGCAAAGATTTCGGTGATAACAATCAAGGGGGCTCGATCGTGCTTGGCTTTCTCTATCCACCTTTTCCCTGTGGCCTCTGAAGTCTCAGGGTGAAGCAGGACTCCAGGACTGAAGCCATCGGGTGGGTCTCTGTGGGTCTCTGATTCAGCACTACCCGCGTGCCAGCCTGAGTCTGGATCAAAACTTTGCTTTCAGCTTTCATTTTTCACCTCGTCTCCTGAAATTTGTGTCGAACTGCGTTGGTTTCTGCTCCCGCATGGCCGGGGCGAGGGAGGCAGCCCCTGGGTCTGGGTGGCAGCGATGCTACAGGCTGTGCTGCTGCAAAATTCTCATTTTCAGGCCTCTGCTCAGTGAAACACCACAACAAACTCTTTGTGATTTAAATTATCGTTGTTTGGGATTTTTTTTTTTTGCTGGGGAAAGCTGCCCAACGCGGGGCTGCTGCGTGCAGAGCCCCCGAAAAGACGAGAGCCTCAAAAGCCTGCAGGAGGAATTCAGAAATCAACCCCCTGGCGGGCCAGGGAGCAGGATTCAGGGTAAGAGAAGCCCACACGGCTGCTTCCTTCTCCTCCTCCTCCTCCTCCTCCTCTCTCCCTTCCCTGCTGGCAGGGGCTGAGCTCTGCAGACAGTGAGCAGCTGCGGCTGGCGTGCTGCTGCTTAACTGCTGCCTCCCCGGTCTGATTACCAGCGGCTCTTGGGCTCACATGGTTCATTTTTAAGAAAATTCCATATTTCTGCCCCAAATAACGGGGCAGGACCTGGAATTTCTTGAGAAGAGTTGTGCGTTGCCTGCCCCTGCTTCTGCTCCGTGCCCCCCAGTTTGTGCCTGGCCTCAGCATTTTCCCCCAAACCACACCCCAGCTCATCTACCAGCATCTCTGGGGCAGAGGTTTTATTTCAGAAATGTTTTTTGGGGGGGGCTCCCCGCGCCCCCATCCCCTGGGCACAGCTCTGGGGATGCAGCCGCAGCCTCCCGGCACTTTTGGGTGAAATCTGCGGGCTTTTAGCAAAGTTTCCTTTGCGTTTTCTGGATATTTAGCTTGACCAGCCCCAGCTACTTACTGGGGGCTCTCACAAAAGGGGTGAGGGTTGGGGGGGGGGGACATGGGGGGCTCCTGGGGGGGGCGCAAGGGACAAAGCAGGACCCCAAGGGAGCCAAGGGGACACCGCAGGTTTTGGGGTGGTGGCCCCTGGGTGAACCCAAGCCACAAACTGGGGTTACTGGGACACGGGACCGGGACTGGGGGGGGGAGAACACACATTGTGGGGGGGGGACACACATTGTGGGGGGGCCCTCCCTGACCCCCCAGCTGCGAATCCCGACCCCAAAAAGCTCCGAGGGACCAGGGGGGCGCCCCCGGATGGGGAAAACCGAGGCAACCCCGGGCTCCCTTCGCCTTTAAGGGGCGGGGGGGGCGGGGGGGGGGCTCTGCTGCCGCAGTGCTTGGCCGGGGGGGGGCCGGGAACGGGGTTGGGATCGGGGTTGGGATCGGGGGGCGATGCTGCGCGTCTTCGTGCTGCGGGCGGACAGCCTCCGCACGCCCGATGCCGACATCAGCGACGCCTACTGCGGGGTCCAGTTCCGAGGTGGGGGGGTCTGGGGGGGGCTGGGGGGGTCAAAAGGGTCGGGGAGGGGGTCAGGGAGGGGTTAGGGGGGCGTGGGGGGGGGTTGGTTTCTGCGCGCCCCCCACCCCCTGTGCTTGGAGAGCCCCCGGGAATGGAGGGGGTCTGATGGGAAGGGGGGGGTCTGGGGGTGGGGGGGGTGTTGGTATGGGGGGGGTCGCGTTATGGGGGGGGTCCCGGTATGGGGGGGGGTCCTGGTGTGTAGGGGTGTGGGTGTGGGGGGGGTCCCATTATGGGGGTCCCATGCATGTATGGGGGGCCCAGTGTATGGGGGGGGCCCGTTACGGGGGTACCGTGGGGGGGGGTCCCAGGATGGAGGGGGGGGGACATGGATGTTCAGGGGTCCCCGTATATGGGGGGGGTCCCATTAAGGGGGTTCTGTGCATGTGCAGGGGTCCCAGTATGGGGGGGGGGCGTGGATGTGTGGGGTTCCCGGCAGAGGGGGGGTCCCATTAAGGGGGTTCTGTGCATGTGCAGGGGTCCCACTATTTGGGGGGGGGGCATGGATGTGGGTGGGGGGTTCCCGATACGGGGGGGGGTCCCATTAAGGGGGTCCCAGTGGGGGGGGGGGCAGCACGGAACCACTGCGGGGCCTTCCCAGTTCTTGCGGGGCTCCCAGTTTGGGGCTGCCTCTGGCCTCCAGCCCCCCCCCCCAGCAGCGGGGCCGTGTGTCACGGAGCCACCCACGGCCCCCCCTGTGCCCCCCCCCCGGGGGGGGGGGCTGGAGGGCACATAGCTGAGCAGTGAGCGCAGCACCGGGGCTATTTTGGGGCTATTTTGGGATGGCGCTGCCCAAGGGACCTGGGGGACGATGGCCGTGGGGGGCTGCGGGGTCCCAAATGTGTCCCCCCCCCGTGACGGGAGAAACGAGGGGGTGTGCGATGTGTCGTGGCTGGTTTGCGGCGTCCTGGGGGTTTTTGGGGTGAAAAAATGCCTTTTTATGGCTTGTTGGAGAATGGGGAGCGTGTCGTGTCCTGGGCTCTGCGGCCGGGGGGGGCACCTTGGGGGGGGGCTTCCCAGTGGCAGGAGGTCCCTGTCCCGCTGTCAGGGTGCTCGTTTTTGGGACCCCCCCCCCCCCCCGGGTCCCCGATGCAGGGAACGACCCCTCCTTGCTCCATCCCCAAGCTCTGCCTTCGGGGGGTGTCACCCCTGCTGCCCCACCAGTGGCTCCCAGTCCTCCCAGCTGTCCCAGTGCTGGGTTCCTCGCAGCGTCCCCAGCTCCTGGCGCTGTGACATCTCCGGGCTTTGTCGCGTTCCCAGGCCCGCTGCTTTGTCATTGCTCCTGCAGCATCATCGAGTCCTTGTGCCCAGTTATCCCAGTGCTTGCAGCACCTGGGGTCCCAGTGCCCCAGTATTCCCAGTGCTCACTTATCCCAGTGCCTGCAGCACCCTGGGTCCCGGTGTCCCATTATTCCCAGTGCCTGCAGCATCCCTGGTCCCAGTGCTCTGTTACCCCGGGGCGTGCAGCACCCTGGGGTCCCGGCGCTCTGTTATCCCTGCTGCTCTGTTATCACAGTGCCTGCAGCACCCTTGGGTGCCAGTGCCCCATCATCCCCAGTACCTGCTTATCCCAGTGCTTGCAGCATCCATGGATCCTGATGCGCCTCTATCCCTGGTGCTCTTTTATCCCGAGGTGTGCAGCACCCTGGGGTCCTGGTGCTCCGGTATCCCCAATGCCCGCTTATTCTGGGGTCATGCAGCACCCTTGGGTCCCAGTGTCCTCTGTCCCGGGGGTGCAGCACCCTTGGGTCCCAGTGCTCTGTTATCACGGTGCCTGCAGTCCCAGTGCTCTGTTACCCTGGTGCCCTCTTGTCTTGAGGCATGCAGCACCCCGGGGTCCCGGTGCTCTGTTATCCCTGGAGCCTGCTGTCCTTGGGCGTGCAGCACCCTTGGGTCCCGGTGCTCCCTTATCTCCAGTGCTCTGTTATCACGGTGCCTGCAGCACCCTGGGGTCCTGGTGCTCCGGTATCCCCAATGCCCGCTTATTCTGGGGTCATGCAGTACCCTTGGGTCCCAGTGTCCGCTGTCCCGGGGGGTGCAGCACCCTTGGGTCCCGGTGCTCTATTATCATGGTGCCTGCAGTCCCGGTGCTCTGTTACCCTGGTGCCCTCTTGTCTTGAGGTGTGCAGCACCCTTGGGTCCCGGTGCTCCATTATCCTCAGTGCCTGTTTGTTCTGGGGGTGCAGCACCCTGGGGTCCCGGTGTGCCCTTATCCCCAGTGCCTGCTGTCCTTGGGCATGCAGCACCCTTGGGTCTCGGTGCTCCGTGTGCTCTACTATCACGGTGCCTGCAGCACCCTGGGGTCCCGGTGCTCCATTATCCTCAGTGCCTGTTTGTTCTGGGGGTGCAGCACCCTGGGGTCCTGGTGCGCCCTTATCCCCAGTGCCCGCTGTCCCAGGGCATGCAGCACCCTTGGGTCCTGGTACTCTCTTATCCCCAGTGCTCTGTTATCACGGTGCCTGCAGCACCCTGGGGTCCTGGTGCTCCGGTATCCCCAATGCCTGCTTATTCTGGGGTCATGCAGCACCCTTGGGTCCCGGTGTCCACTGTCCTGAGGGGTGCAGCACCCTGGGGTCCCGGTGCTCCGTTATCCCCGGTGCCCTCCATCCCGGTGCGCACAGCACCCTTGGGTCCCGGTGCGCCCTTCTCCCCGGTGCCCGCTCTCCTTGGGCACGCAGCACCCTTGGGTCCCGGCGCTGCGTTATCCCCGGTGCCCCCCGCCCCGCTGCGCGCACCCGGCCGCCCCCTGCACCCCCCGCGGCTGCCGCACCGAGGCGCTCCGTGGCACCGCCCGGGCGCCTCCTCCAGCGGCCGGGGAGGGTCGGGGCGGGGGCCGGGACCGGGACCGGGACCGGGAACGGATCCTGCCCGTTGCGGGGGCCCGGCTTGGCCTCTCTCTCGGTGCCCTGCTCGCCCCCCCCCCCCCAGCCATGCTGCGCTGCCTGCTCCAGCGAGCCAGCCACCTCCCCAACCTCGAGAAGGGGGACAGGCAGAGCGACCCGGTGGCCAGCCTGACTTTCCGAGGTGAGGGCACCCCAAATCTGCCTTTTGGGGCTGGGGGACGGGGGTGGGGGGGCAGGATTTTTTGCTTTGCCTGGGGCGAGTTATCTCCGTTTCCAAATTTTTTCTGCAAAGCCCGGGGTCCGCGGGGTGCCCGGACAGGACATACGTCCTGTCCAGGCACCCCGCGGACCCCTGGCTTTGCCAAGCTCCATCCTCACCCCAAATCCTTGCAAAATTCTCAGGGGACCCCCACTACCAGGTCCATATCGACCCCCTCCATCCCCATCCTCCAGCACATCCCAGTGCCTCGCTCACTGGTGCGGTGCATCCCTTGAGGATGGGGGTCCCCATGGTGGGCTCTCCCCTCAAGCTTTTGGGGTGTGCAAAGGTGGGGGGGGGGAGTGAAAAATCCCAACACTTTGGTGGTAGTGGGGTTTTTCCCCAGGGGAGGAGCTGGGGGTGAGCATTCAGCGCCGTCCCCAGCTTGTGGCACAGCGGGGGAGACCCCAGGGGCTCAGCAGGCAAAAAATGGGTGGTTGCAGGGTGCTGCGCCCTTGGGTGCCCTCTTGGTTGCTTTCGTGCTTTGCTCTGATTATGGGCTTTTAATTGCTAGCAGGAGATTTGTAGTAAAAACCTAAATAACCCCGTGTCTTGGGGTCCATCCCGTCGCTGTTGGCACCGGGGGGGGGATGCTCAGAGGCTTTCCTCTGGGGCAGCGGGGCGATGCCTCCGCACCTCGAAAGCGCCCGTTGGGAGGATGTTGTTTCTTTGGCACCCGCTTCCTGGCGGTGGAAAATGTCCATTTTTAGAAAAAAAAAATAAGGAAAGGAAAGGGATGATGAGTGGCTTCTGAGCAAGCCTTTCCTGTGCTGGGCTGCGGGGTGGGGGGAGCGCGGAGCTGCGAGGTCCCAGGGGGCTCCCAGGGGTGGGCTCCATCCGATGAAGAAAACAGCTCAGGGCCAGAGCCTGGAGGCACGGGGGAATTCCAGGGCTGTGCACAGCCAGGAGGCACTGCGAGCAGGAGCTGTGCCTGACACGAGGGATGTTCAACGTCTCCAGAGCTCGAGGACATTCCCCAGAGCCGGGCACGGTGTGGGGACGCGTCCCGTGGGGCTGCCTGCCAGCACATGGAGCCCTCCCTCCTCCCGCTTGGCTGAGCTCAGGGCCGGAAGGTGCAGCGGTGGGCTCTTGAAAATCTGAAATGGGAAAAGCTGAATTTGGCAATGCTTAAAAAATAAAATCACAAAAATAAAATTAAAAAAAAATATATTACAAAAATAAAAAACCAACAACCAAGGGGGCTGCTCGGAGTGCGTGGTCTGGGCTCCCCGGCGGCACCGCGGAGCCTCTCCGTGCGCGCCTGGCACCGTACAGCGGGGCTGGGGCCACTCGGGGTCCTGTGGGCTTTGAGTCACCGCTATTGTTCTCCTGCTCTTCCTCTTCCTCTTCCCCTGGGCTCGCGGCCGTCCCTTGGGTTCGGTGTGAACCCGAGGCTCCGGGTTTGGGCGGGGGGCACCGCGGGCTTTCGGTGCTGGGTTGCGCTCAGCCGCTGCCGCCTGGCTCCATGGGGACAGGACGGGGTGGCATCGTCCCTGCCCTCACCTCCTGGGGGTGTCTGTGCCACCCCCCTGGTGGAGCCCAGGATTTTCAGCCCTGTGCCGTGCGGTGTGGGGGCCCTGGGTCCCGGTTGGGGCAGGATTGAGGTGCAGCGAGGGGCTGTCCCGCTCCCCGTGGTGCTTTCCAGCCCAAAAATTTCTCCCCAGAGCATTTTTAAGGGGAGGCAGAGCCTCCTCCCTGCCCTGCTGTGGGGAAACTGAGGCACGGCACAGCGAGAGGATTGCCTGGGGTTTTCCTGGGGTTCATGGGGCAGTCCCAGAGCCCAGCCTGTGCGCAAAGTTTGGGCAGATCCTGCCCCCGGGAGCCTCTCACCCCCCCTGCTATTCCCCCCCACACACATCAGAGGGGGGGGGAGCTGAATTTTGGGACCGTTCCCATCAGACCCATGCGCGTTGCTCCCCACAGGCGTGAAGAAGAAGACAAAGGTGATCAAGAACAACGTGAACCCAGTATGGAACGAGGTGAGCGTGGCCCCATCCCCGTCCCGGTGCGCCCGGGGCTGTCTCGGTTCCACGAGGACACGGGAACGGTGCGGGACGCATCCTGCCGGGGGCACGGAGAGCCCTGAGCTGGCTCCGCACGGCCCCTCTGCTCCAACCTCTTCCCCTTCCATCAAGATCTTATCAGGGCCAAGCACGCAGATTAAAAGAAACGGTACAAAAATACAGCAGCTTTGCAGGGAAAACAAGTGGTTTACGCATCAGCCTGGCCCAGGGGAGGATATTTTTTCCTTCTAACCCTGACCCGGGGGGGTCAAGGTTAAAAAAATGGCTTTTGGCGAGCGAGCAGGAACGCAGTTTAGGTGCAGCAATGCTGCGTGCCAGCTCCCATCGGTTTTCTCCTTTAGCTTTTTAATTAACCCGTGGCGAAAACCTGTGAAAAGCACCAGCTTTGGGGCTGAGCTTTCCTCCTGATGCCCGCTCCCCTCTCCTCCCCTGCAGGGCTTCGAATGGGACCTGAAGGGCACGGCGCTGGACCCTGGGTCCGAGCTCAGCGTCGTGGTGAAAGACCACGAGACCATGGGGAGAAACCGGTAGGAAAAGCACCGGGGCGAGCCCCGTGCAGCCTCCCCGGCTCCGTTTTAGCGCTCCGTGCGCGCCCGAGGCTTTGCAAATCGGACTCGGGGGGGTGGTGATGCATTGGTGCATCGCTGCCCCTTTTGCAGCGGGGGCTGAGGTTGCTGGTGGGAGGCGGGCGCCGCATTTCTGGGCTGCTTTGCACAACATTTGGGGAGAAAAAAAAAAAACTGCTCGGGGCACGGAGCACGCACACAGGGAGCCTTGTGCCCGCCGCCTCCGCTCGTGGCCAGGCTGGTGCCGCGAGGCCACGGTGATGGGCGCACGGCCGAGGAGGTGCCACGGCTCTTTTTTTTTGGCCAGGATTTGGCCAGGCTCTTCTTGGCCAGGCTCTTTTTGGCTGCTTACAGGAAAAAAAAAATAATAAAAACCTTGGAATTGATTGATTTGTGGGCAGCACGTGGTGGGAAGCGCAGCTCTGCAGCCTCTGGGACGGGGAGGACGGCCCTGGCGTGGCCGATCCCCACTTCCAGTGCCGATGCTGCTGCTGGATCTGCTGGAAATTGGGCTCGGTCCAGCTCGGTGGCTTCGTGCCCTTCTATAAATAGAGGGGGGCAGAGGGGAGGAGGCTCCGGCTCTGGTGCAGGCACTTCTTGGCTGCCTGCGGGGGGGTGCAGCCGCTCCTCTGCGCGCCCCCAGAGCCCCCACGTGGAGCCTCTCCTGTTTGCTGGCCCCTTCCCCGCTGGCTTTTTGCCTTCCCTTCCCTACGGAGACGGCACCGAGCTGCCCCTCTGCCGGGGTGCTGCCCCATCGGGGCAATTAGCAGTGACCCTGCTCCTCTTTTGGGGGGCACGGCCCTATTTCCGTGACCGTCTGCAGAGGAAATGGAAGGAGACGGGGAGGGGAAGGCGGTCCCCTCCCCGTGGGAGAAGCGTTCGGGCTCTCCAGCCCTCCTGAAGTGGTGGGGAAGGAAACGGGAGCAGCTTTGATATCCTGGACTCCTCTGCCCCGCTGAACCCCCCCAGGCCGTTTCTTTCCCCGTTTTTATTCTGGGTGCAGCTGGCACAGAAAGTCCATCCAAGGAGCTGGCAGCTCCCTGCTCCCCAGAGCAGCTTTCCAGGTGCTTTTTTTTTGTGCTAAAAAGTGCGCAGAGCCCTCAGAAGTCCCCACGTTGTCTGAGCAGGGCAGGCAGCCCAGCCCCAAGGCTCCGAGCATCCTCCCAGCAGTGTCCAAACTGAGACGTGGCCGTTTTCCCCCCAAATCTGGGAATTGAGCTGGGAATTTCCAGCAGCTGCTCCCGTCCCCAGTGCGGTTCCTTGACCCCTTCCCCCGCTGACCCCCGGTGCTCTCGGCCCCCAGGTTTTTGGGAGAAGCCCGCGTGCCCCTGCGAGATGTCCTCTCCTCCCCCAGCCTGGCGGCCTCCTTCAACGTCCCCTTGCTGGATGCCAAGAAGCAGACCACCGGGGTGAGTCCCTGCCTGGGGGGGGCCGTGCCATCCGCTCCTCCTTAAGCTGCCCCCTTGGTGTTCCCATGGGGGCAGCAGCTTTTTGCCCCTGGGGCCATTGGGGACTCCGTGGCCCTGGCCCCCAGCCTGGCAGGGCCCCAGTTTGGGACCAGTTGCCCCATCCTGGACCCTTCAGCTTTGCTCCACGAGCTCGGGGAGGGGGCAGCAGGAGGACACCCCCGCTTCCACAGGGGCTTCCACGGGGACCCCATGAGCTGCGCCAGGGGGGTCACCCCCTGCATCCACCTGGGACCCCCTCCTCTGCGCCTTGCAGGCTGTGGAGAGCTCTGTGACACCCCTCCTCTTATTTTTTCCTCAGGCTTTCCTCATCCTGCAGGTGTCCTACACCCCCCCTCCGGGTGCTGCTCCCCTCTTCCCTCCTCCGTCCCCCCCTGAGCCATCGCCGGGGGCTGCCGAGCCTGACACGGTCACCGGTAATGAGAGCGCCCCACGGGTGGCACGGGGGGACACGACCCCCACGGCCCATCCCAAGTCCCCTCAGCAACCTCCCTGCCCCCTGCCCCGCGCAGAGGCGCCCACCGAGGAGGAGGAGGCTGAGGACCGGCCGGCCACGGGGGACGAGACGGAGCCTGCGCCCTCGGGGCCGCCGGGGTCTGAGCCCCCCTCGCTGCCCCGCAAGCCCCCGGTGCACCACGTCCACGGGGTGAGGCGCAGGAGGAGCTCGCCCAAAAAGCCCCTGTCCAACAAGCCGCAGGACTTCCAGGTGAGGCGTGGGCAGGTTTGGGTGCATCCTTCTTGGGGTATCTGGGTCTTGGTGCACCCCGCTTAGGGTATCCGGGTCCTGGTGCATCCTTCTTGGGGTATCCGGGTCCTGGTGCATCCTCTTTGGGGTCCCTCTTGGGGGTCCCGGGTGCTGGTGCGTCCCCCGTGGGGTACCCGGGCAGTGCCCGGTGCCCACCCCGGCTGCCCGCTGAGCTCTTCCCTTTCTCCCCCTCCTGCTGCAGATCCGGGTGCGGGTGATCGAGGGCCGGCAGCTGCCCGGGGTTAACATCAAGCCCGTGGTGAAGGTGACGGTCGCGGGGCAGACCAGGAGGACCAGGATCCGCAAAGGCAACAGCCCCTTCTTCGACGAGGTGAGACCTGGGGGTGGGCTTTGGGAGAGCCTGGGGGGAGCTTTGGGGGTCAGGACCCGAACGGAGGCACCGGCACAGCTCAGGGGCAAGGGTTTGGCTACCAGGGGCTGCAGCCTGAGCTGCACCAAGCAGACACTTTGGCTCCCCGAGGTGTCCCCCAGCCCCACGGCTGTTTGCACAGGGTGCTGGTGCTCAGCCCTTTGCCCTCTGCCCCACAGACTTTCTTCTTCAACGTCTTCGAGTCGCCAGCCGAACTGTTTGATGCGCCCATCTTCATCACGGTGAGCCGCTCCGGTTCCTCCCCGGGGGGATCGCTCGCCCCGTCCCCTCCCCACGCTGCCCAGGGACCCGTCCCTGCTCCAGCTCGGTGCTGCACTCACTGCTCTGCCTTCTCCTCCTGCAGGTGGTGGATTCTCGGTCATTTCGGGCGGATTCGGTGCTCGGGGAGTTTCGGGTAAGGCTCGCGCCTCTTCGCCCCCGATCTCAGCCTCTGGGGCTCGCAGCGTGCTTGATCTCGCTTGCTTTCCTCTTGTTTTTCACAGATGGATGTCGAGACCATCTATTCGGAGCCAAGTGAGTTCAGCAGCTGGGGCTGCTTGCTGTGGTGGGGATTGATCTCTCTGGGTGACAGTTTTTTGGGGTCAAACATAGGGGGCACGCTGAGGCTGTGCCCCGGGACAGATCCACCTCGTGCTGCTTAAACAGTGCTGTGGTGGCTGGGGAGGGGGTAACGCGCCCACCTGGGCACCTTAGGGGGCTTGGTGTGACAGCACGAGCACATCTCACCGACGTTGGGCAAACCCATAAAAATACTTTGGAAAAATCTCACCTACGTTGGGCAAACCCATAAAAATACCTTGGAAAAATCTTACGTATGTTGGGCAAAACCCGTACAAACGCCTTGGACGAGCCCTGGCCCACCTGGATCACTGGTAAGGGCCAGCAGGGGGTGACCCCATGGCTGTGCCTTGGTCACCCATCGATCTGTGGAATGAAGCAACAAAAATCTTGGGTGGCTGCTGTCTTCCTCGATATTTTACTTCCAGTTTCATTACACTGAAAGAGGGGTCCTGGAGATGACGTTTTTCCCTCCACGAAGATCTCACCATCCTCGGGTGTTCGTTCATTCCCCAGAGCACGCCTTCCTCAGGAAGTGGCTGCTGCTCTCCGACCCCGAGGACTTCTCCGCGGGGGCCAAGGGCTACCTGAAGGTCAGCCTGTTCGTGCTGGGGCCTGGAGACGAAGCTCCCGTGAGTATTGGTGTGGGACGGACGGACGGACAGATGGATGGATGGATGGACGGATGGATGGATGGATGGACGGACGGATGGATGGATGGACGGATGGATGGACGGATGGATGGATGGATGGATGGATGGATGGACGGACGGACGGATGGATGGAGCGACTTTTTGGGTTTTCCTCCTCTCGCCCCACAGATGGAGAAGAAGGAGGTCTCGGAAGACAAGGAGGACATCGAGGGGAACCTCCTGCGTCCCACCGGGGTCACCCTGAGAGGGGCTCACTTCTGCCTGAAGATCTTCAAAGCTGAAGATTTGCCCCAGAGTGAGTGTTTCCCCATCCCATGGCGTGTAGAGGACCAAGGGTGCCCATGAGGAAGCTGCGCCCTCATCCCTGTCCCCGGGACCTCGCCGACGTGGTCCCCGCAGCCCTCCCAGCGCCTCCTTTTCCCCGCAGTGGATGATGCCGTCATGGACAACGTCCGGCAGGTCTTCGGCTTCGAGAGCAACAAAAAGAACCTGGTCGACCCCTTCGTGGAAGTCAGCTTCGCGGGCAAGATGGTGAGCGGCCGGAGAGGGGTCCCCCGGGCTGGGGACGTGGCGGTGGGTCGTGGCACGCCGTGGTGGCAGGGACGTGGGGAGGGTGGCACGCCGGGCGCACCGCGGTGCTGTTGTGTTAGGAAGCCGCTGGGGGTGGTTTTTTGGGGGTCCTGGGGCGAGACCCCCGAGCAGCCCGTTGCACCCTCTGCCTCCTGCGCAACGCAGAGCCCCACGGGCCGGGGACATTGAAGGGAGCCTTTATTTTGGGGATGGGAGACTTGAGAAAAGTCACCCCCATCCCGCTCCCACACCTCCAGCTCTACTCGAGGATCCTGGAGAAGAACGCCAACCCCCAGTGGAACCAGTGCCTGACCCTGCCGGCGATGGTGAGCACCGTGCCCGCTCCCAGCTGCCCCCCAAAACCCTCCGGAGCCCCCGGCCACCGCTCACCGCTCCGCTCTCTTCCCAGTTCCCTTCCATGTGCGAGAAGATGCGCATCCGGGTGACCGACTGGTGAGTGGGGACATGTCCCCGGGACGGGGACAGGGTGTGTGAGGGTGTTGGAGGGGGCACCAGATCCCCTTAAAACACAGGAGGAGTTGAGGGGGTGGAGATGCGCTCATGGAGCAGGGGATGCTTGGTGTGGGATGGGTTTGGGATGTGGCCATGTTTGAGATGGGATGTGGGAGGGGTTTGGGACGGGACATGGGATGGGTCTGGGACGTGGGATGGGTTTGGGACAAGACATGGGATGGGTTTGGGACAAGACGTGGGATGGGTTTGGGATGTGGGATGGGTTTGGGACGAGACATGGGATGGGTTTGGGACGTGGGATGGGTTTAGGACATAGGATGGGTTTGGGACATGGGACGGGTTTGGGACAAGACGTGGGATGGGTTTGGGACAGGACGTGGGATGGGTCTGGGACAGGACGTGGGATGGGTCTGGGACGTGGGATGGGTTTGGGACGGGACGTGGGATGGGTTTGGGACAAGACATGGGATGGGTTTGGGACAAGATGTGGGATGGGTTTGGGATGTGGGATGGGTTTGGGACGGAACGTGGGATGGGTTTGGGACGTGGGATGGGTTTGGGACGTGGGACGGGTTTGGGACAAGACGTGGGATGGGTTTGGGATGGGACATGGGATGGGTTTGGGACGAGACGTGGGATGGGTTTGGAACAAGATGTGGGATAGGTTTGGGACAAGATGTGGGATGGGTTTGGGATGTGGGATGGGTTTGGGACAAGATGTGGGATGGGTTTGGGACGGGATGTGGGATGGGTTTGGGATGTGGGACGGGTTTGGGACAAGATGTAGGATGGGTTTGGGATGTGGGTTGGGTTTGGGACGTGGGATGGGTTTGGGATGAGACGTGGGATGGGTTTGGGATGGGATGGGATATGGGATGGGTTTGGGACATGGGATGGGTTTGGGACGTGGGATGGGTTTGGGACGGGACGTGGGATGGGTTTGGGACATGGGATGAGTTTGGGATGAGACGTGGGATGGGTTTGGGATGTGGGATGGGTTTGGGACGTGAGATAGGTTTGGAATGAGACGTGGCTGTATGTAAGACATGGGCTAGATTTGGGACGGGACGTGTTTGGGACATGGCCGTTTGAGACACGGCTGTGTTTGGGACATGGGATGCATTTGGGACGAGACGTGGCCGTGTTTCAGGGACCGCCTGACGCACAACGACATCATCGGCACCGCCTACCTCTGCATGTCCAAGATCTCGGCGCCCGGCGGGGAGCTGGAGGGTAAGGGCGGGCGGCAGGACGTGGCCCTCGGTGCATGCCCACGGAGCCGTGCTGCACGCTGCTGGCCGGGGTTGGTGCTGGCCGGGAGGAAGGAGCAGCCGGGAAGGGCTCTGCCAGGTCACCGGGGCTGGGGGAGAAGCCGGGGGGGCGCGGGCAGGGTGCTGGTGGTGGCTCCATCCCATGGGGGTGGCCCTGCTGGATTCGGTCCCTGCTGCTTCGTGGCCCTACAGATCTTCAGGTCCTAATAGGGCCGTGGGGAGGGGTGGTTGCAGAGCTGCAGCTGAGGTTTTGTGTCCTCCTTTGCGACCAGAGGTGACTGCAGGTGGTGACAGCGGTGTCACCGGCGCAGGAAGGTGCCACCTCTCCCTGCTCCCACTGACGGCTCCTCCTCAGGTGGCATTTTGGGGCTGTCGGGGTGGGGGCTGAGGTCCAGCCTGCGCTGAGAGCAGTGTTTGAGGTGCCAGGAGCCTTCCTGAGTGAAGGGCCACCGCGGAGGTGCTGTGAGGGACCGGGTGGGTGACACCGACCGTGTCACTTGTGCCGAGCAGGGAGGGATGAGGGATGTGCTCGTGGCGATTTCTCTGCTTGTGGGGCTGCTGCGAGCCACGGCGGGGCTGGAGCAGAGGCTGCCCTAAAGTGCACGAGTGTCCTGCTGCTAACGAGCCTGGTGACACCTGGTGGCACCTGGTGGCACCTGGTGGCACCTGGTGGCACCTGCTGCCCTCCCGGACCCCTGCACGTGCACATCGTCCCCGCGCCTCCCCGCTTTGAAGTGTGGCTCCCGGGATGGTTTGGAGAGGAAAAAGGGGGCCAGGTAGGGAAATGAGGAGGCTGGGAGGGGTCTGTGGGATTGGCAACCCCCAGCCCCTTGGATCCTTATGGCTTCTGCAATGCATGGAGCATTCTTCATCCCTTGGGGCTTTCACATGCGCCCTATGGTCCCCAACCAGCCTCACCCTTTCTCTTCCTCTCTTGGCACCGAGAGCCCATGGCAGTGCCACCTCCTCCTCCTCCTCCTCCTTCTTCACCTCCTCCTTCTCCTCTTTCTCCTCTTCCATAACCCGCTGCCCTTTCCGTGCGCTCCCCCTCCTAACCTCTCTCCATTTCTTTGTGCCTCAGATGAGTTTCCTGCTCTTGCGAAGCCTCTGAAAGCCGCAGACCGTACGTCCCCTTAGCCTCTCGGTTTGCAATCGCCGCCCTGGTAATTTTTTTTTCCCCTGCTGTCGTTGCCACCGTTAGGGCCAGAGCGTTGGCCAGAGCTGGGAGCACCTCGATGGGGGAAACCTCCCACGCTGGGAAGGGCTCCAGTGTCCTCCCCTCGGTGGCTTTGGGACATCCCCAATGGTTTTGCGGTGTGGTGGCGTGTTGTGTGCCGAGCTGTCGGGGTCCGGCGTGGTGCTTGGGAGCTCGGAGCAGCATCCACAAAAAGGGTTTCAGCTTCTCATCGGCTTGAGGTGCCCAAAAACCGAGCGCTGCTGCTCTTCCAAGTGCTGTCCCGTGGCTTGAGCACCCCGGGGCTGCTGGAAGTCCACGCAGCGCCCTGGCAGCTCCCTGGGCTCGCAGGAGACGCAGTGTTTTGGTGCCCACTGATGTGGGTTTTGGGTCGCTGACGGCTCCTTCCCTGTGCCCCGCAGTGGACGACGGGCTGGGCTTCCTGCCGACCTTCGGCCCCTGCTACATCAACCTCTACGGCAGCCCCCGCGAGTTCACCGGCTTCCCCGACCCTTACGAGACGCTCAATTTGGGAAAGGTGAAGTCGGCTTCTTGCCAGCACGGCCTGAAATAAATTAACCTTCCTCCTTGCCAAAAGCAAGCTGCTGCTAACCCGACCCGGCTGCCTTACCCGGAGCCTTGCCCCAGGCTCTCCCCGCTGGCTGAACCCTCCTGGTGTTGCTCCCCGCCTCCAAAACGCCTCCAGAATTGCTTTGCCCAATCTCTCCGTGAGGCTGAACGAGCAGAGAGGGGCCAGGGACGGGCCCCTGGGTGCTGACCCCGTCCCCGGTCTACCCCCAAGGGCGAGGGCGTCGCGTATCGCGGCAGGGTGCTGGTGGAGCTGGAGACCCGGCTGGTGGAGCACGTGGAGCAGAAGGTGGAGGACATCTCCGCCGATGACATCCTGCGGGTGGAGGTAACGGGGTCGCTGCTGGCACTGGGGGTCCGTCCTAAATCCCACCCCAAATTCCCTCGAGACACCGCGTCCTCTTCCCTGCCGTCACCTTTGCCATCTCGGGGGCTTTCCCGGATTGGTGTTTGGGGGCAGTGGGGGGGGTCTGTGCGTAGACCCCATGGCCCCATCCCCGTACCTGTTGCAGAAATACCTGCGCCGGCGCAAATACTCCCTCTTCGCCGCCTTCTACTCGGCCACCATGCTGCAGGACGTGGACGATGCCATCCAGTTTGAGGTCAGCATCGGCAATTACGGCAACAAATTCGACAACACCTGCCTGCCCCTGGCCTCCACCACGCAGTACAGCCGGGCCGTGTTCGACGGTGAGCCGGGGGGGGGTCTCACGACCCAGCTGGACATGGATGGTGTCTGGTGGGCTCTGTCTGAGCAAGGGATGGGGCCAGGAGGACCCCGGAGGTGTCTCCAAGCTCAGCCACCGGTGTGCGTGGAAATGGGTGACCAGGGAGGTGTGGGGAAGGCAGGAGAGGTCTGGGCATGGGGTGTAGGGTGGCCACCCAGCCCTAACAGTGCCCAATTCTTCTCAAGAGGGAGCCAGTGCTTTAGGGTGGCCTTTTCCTGGGGGCTGTGGTGTGAGGTGTCCTCACCACGCTGCGGTTCCCGGAATCCCAGAACCATCTAGGTTGGAGGAGCCCTCCAAGATCTCTGGTCCTGAGCAGGGTGGTGCCCGTCACCGTGATGTCCCGAGCTCACCCGTGTGTTGTGCCCTCCAGGCTGCCAGTATTACTACCTGCCCTGGGGCAACGTGAAGCCCGTGGTGGTGTTGTCGTCCTACTGGGAAGACATCAGCGCCCGGACTGATGCTCAGAACCTCCTCCACCACACGGCAGACAGGCTGGTGAGTGCCGCAGGGACAGGGACAGGGACAATCCTGGCTGCATCCCACCTGCGGGCACGGGGAGAGGATGGAGGCCATCTCCGTGCTGGGTCAGGTTTGGGGTTTGTGGGGTCCCAGGTGCCCTGCTCAGCCATGGAGAGAAAGGGGAAAGGGAAATGGGTGTTCCTTGGAAAATCCCTTTCCTGCGGAGCTGCCTCTGCTGGTGTCAGAGCCTCGGGGTGCAGGAGCCCCGGGATGAGCAGGGGCTGGAGGTGCAGCAAGCCCTGGGCTCTCTGCTTGCCCAAACCCGGGCTCTTTCCTCTCCTTCCGTGGCTTCCAGCTGGTGTGGGGCTCAGCATGGTGCTGGATGGGAAGAGGGGGCCACCCTCATCCCTGTGGGGTGACAGCGGGGTGCGTCGCTGTGCCACCCGCTGGGGAGGCTGCGCAGATACCAGAAGCAGGGCTTCCCTCAGTTTTGGGGCTGTTTATGGGATTTCCTGCTGTGCTGCACACTCATTTCCCCAGGGAGCTCCAAGAGGAGCAAATCCGGGGGTGCAGAGTGATGGAGCCCTGGGTGCTTGCCGGGAGGCTCCTGGAGGTGGGGAGGAGCGGGGTGCCGGGGGTCCCCCCGTGCTGCTCCCCTTCACCCCCCCTGTGTCGTGCAGGAAGCCAACCTGGAGAAGGTCCAGCTCGCGCTGAAGGCCAAGTGCTCATCGAGCGAGCTGGACTCCCTGGGCGCCCAGCTGCTGGATGATATCATCGCCGACTGCAGGTACTGCTGCCAGCCCCTCCGTGCCGTTTATTGCGAGAGCACTTATTTATCTTGGAAGGGACAACTTCTTCTTCTTTTTTTTTATTTTTATTTTTTTTTAATGCCGAAAAAAGGGCGGTCGTTTGCTAATGTTTACTTCAAAGGTCGCTGAGCCAAGGCACGGAGTTGGAGAGGTGGCGGTGAAGGCAAGTCGTAAATTCCCAGCCCGGCTCACCTGAATGAGCCGCATTGTGCCGCGGGGCCGGGGCCGGAGCCCCCGCTCTGGGGGGGTCGCCAGGGCCAGGAGCCACCCCCTTGGTGGCTCCCCGAGGGGTTTTGAGGGTGCTGTGTGTGAAGCATCCGTGCACAGCACCCGGGGGCTATTTGGCTGTGCCTGTTGTGTGTCCTGTGGAGGGGATGGAGGTGTTGGAGATGTGGGGCTGGATGGTGTGGGTGACCTGCAGCCCCCCTGCCTCCACCCTGGGCAGATGCAGGATGGGTTGTCATGGGGCTGAGCTCTGCTTTCATCTCCTACGTGGTCTCCTGGGGTATTTCCAGGACTCTCCCCATCCCCAGGGTGGTTCTTGGTGCTTCAGCTCAGCAGAGAGGGAGAATTTGGTCCTCCCTGTGGTCCTTGAGGTCCACGTTCTTCCCCTCCCTCCCCAATTAATGGGGAGGGAGGGGAAGAACGTGGCTGCGAGCTGTGCCAAGCCCGTGGCTCCCCTTGCTCCTTGCCCCTCTCCATGCTCAGCTCTTGCTGTAAGCGGCTCCGGAGGGGCTTGGCACGGGGACCGGGGTGGTACATGGTGGTGGGAGCTGGTGTGACAGCTCTGATGGCTTTTTTGGGGAGAGTTTCACCCCATTGCATGCTGTGCCCTGGGGGATGAGCAGACCCATGCAGCTGGACCTCTCTGTGGTGGCTGGGCTGGATGGCTGGGGGCAGGTTGGATGCGCTCAGCTGGGGCAGAGCTCATCAGAAGGAATTTGGGCTGGATTTTGGAGTGATGGGACAACCCCTGCTGCTCCCTGGTGCTTCCCTGCTCTGCTGTGAGCGGGACATGGGTCTATGCTTGAAGGGTCCAAGTGGGAGGCGATGTCTCCACCTCCTGTTCCCAGTAGGAAAGCAGCAACGTGCCTCAGATCACCTCCCCAGGTCTGTTTTCCCAGCTTTTGGGTGAAGGGAAGCGCTCCTTGGAGCACTTGGCAGTGGCACCCAGACGGACAGAGCTGGGGATAGAGCAGCAGCAGCAAGCCCAAGAACCAGAGGCACAGCATTGCAGCACAGCTCTTGGTGCCAATGCTCTGACCTGGAGCTTCGGGGGCTGCTCCTGGCCCTGTTCCCACCACAGCGATGGCCCCAGGGAGCACATTTGGCTCTTCCCTGCTGATTTGTGCCCCAAGGGACATCAGTGCAGGACCCATGGCTCTGCGTGAACTCGATGCTCCCGTCTATTTATCTTTAATCTACTTCATTGTGCTTCTACATTTCGCTTGGTTGAGTCCATTGCCTTCCATTTGCCCATGGGAACACAATTTAAGTCCCTGGATCCTCTGGGGTTTTATAGGGTTTTTAATGCACCACACACACCCTCGGTGACCAGGCTTAACCCATTCTGTGGCTCCTTTTCACAGCTTTATAACAAATTTCCTCCTTGTGTAGCTTTACAGTTTGTCTGTCTGACATTGAATGCAACTGCTGTGGATATTTTTAGCTTGGGTTTATTTTATTTTCTTTGTCCCTGCACGGCTGGTGAAGCACGTCGCGGTGTGCGGGGCGGGCGAGCAGTGTCCTGCCTGGCACCGTGGGGAGCAGCTCCACTTCATCACCCCATTTTGCATGGAAAGCCCTAAATGGCCCCATCCTCCTGAAATCTGGATGCAGCAGCTTGAATCAATTCCTATTAAAATGTCCACGTAGTGTGCAGGGCGATGTGCACGGCTCAGCCAGGCTCCACGTGGCCCCTTCCAGCGACGTCCTCGCTCTCAGCATCGCCGTGCTCCCCAAATGCATCTTCAGGGCCTTGTTCCTTCTTTGTAAACTTGCCGAAAAAGAAGGAAAAAAATAAAAAGAGAAGCCCCCAGCGAGGGTGAGGCTCCCAGGAGCTGCTGACACCACGTCTCTGCCCGCAGCGTGCCCCTGCCCGACGTGCTGGGGAAGCCGGCCAGCACCCACCTGGACCAGAACATGTACCGCTTCCGCAGCACCAACCTGGAGCAGGTTGTGCAGGCGGCTCTGAAGCTCAAGCACGAGGATTTGAGCCTCCCCGCGGTGCTGGAGCAGGCGGAGGACTGGCTCTGCAGGCTGAAGGCCATGGCGGAGGAGGTAACGCGGTGATGCTCGTGGTGATGCTCGTGGCGATGGATGCGAGCGATGCCGCAGTGCTGCCCTAGTGAGGAGCCGAGGTGATGGCTGGGACCCCATGCAAGGATCGTCCCCGTGCCCCCACCTCTCTTTAGGAAGGTTTTGCAGACAGCCGTTGAGGTTTAGCCAGGCTCACGATGGAGCTTTGCCAAAAAATCCTCAGCCCAAGCTGCTGCAGGGGACTGGGCTGGCTGCAGGCGCAGGGTGCGGGGACACGCGGGGATGCTCTGCTCGGCCATGGGCTCACGAGGTGGCAGGGGGCCCACGTGCCATGTCCCCCCCACGGGATTTTGGGCATCCCTGACTCAGATACCTGTGCCTGTCCTCATTCTGTGATGCTCAGCTGGCATCCATCCCTTGCAGCCGCAGAACAGCCTGCCCGACGTGGTGATCTGGATGCTGCAGGGCGACAAGCGCGTCGCCTACGCCCGCGTGCCGGCCCACGAGGTCCTCTTCTCCAAAAACATCCCCGCCTGCTGCGGCAAGAACTGCGGGAAGCTCCAGACTATCTTCCTCAAGGTGCGTGGGCTTTTCATCTGTGTGCACGCGTGCCCAGATATAACCATTTTTAAAACTTTTTTTTCCTAAAAACTGAGCGGGGAGACCTGTAAGGAGGAAAACGTGAGTCAGTGCAGTCTGATTGCAGAGTCCGTTGAGCCTGGGGCTCATCCCCATCCCATGTGAGCTAAAAGGGCAAGGAGATGCTCGGTGCCTTGTCCTGCCCTCGCCTGGTGGAGCCCCAGCCCCACTGCAAACCCAGGCTTCGTTCCACCCTGGCCATGGCACCCCAGCACCGGGTAGGGTTAAGCTCTGGCTCGGAGCTTAAGTGAAGATGGGCGCAGTTTGGCCCAGTCAGTGCATTTATTTTTTTTTTTTTTTAATATTTAAATTTTGTAACGTTATTTAATGTTTTTCAAAATTCCTGACCCTCCGCCACCCCACGAAATTTAAGCTGTGGCCGCCTCTGCCAGGCACTTACCGAGCTTCCCGCGTCTCCAAGGATGTTTCTTTGGCCTTTCGCTGCGTGCCAGCCTGGGAGCAGACAGTCAGTGCCGAACAAGCTCTGAAAAAATAAAGCAGAATAAAATAAACTCAACAAACCCCAAAACCCCAAGCCCAGCTGGCAAGCAGGAGGCAAACCAAAATATATTGCTTTTTTATTCTGCACTTTAGCTTGGGATGGAAAACTAGCATCACTCGAGGGGGAAAAAAAAGTGACCGAGGGAGAGAGAAAGGGCAGCGAGATGTTTCCTTTCTTGTTCTTTATTTTTTGTGCTGGGCTCTCTGTCCTAGCCCTGTCCCCCCACAACGCAGCACCCCAACCCCATGCTGTGTCTGTAGGCTCCTGCTGCCCCATCCAGGGTTGTGGGGGCTTCGTAACCCCCACCCCACAGCAGATTTTGGCCTCCCATCCCACATGGGGACGTTAACGCGGCTCCGTCTTGTGCAGTACCCCCAGGAGGAGGCAATGGGACCCAAGATCCCTGCCCAGATCCGGGTGCAGCTCTGGTTTGGGCTGTCCGTCGACGAGAAGGAGTTCAACCAGTACGCCGAGGGGAAGCTCTCCGTCTTCGCTGAAACCGTGAGCATCCTGGGGGGACCCTCCTCGCTTTTCCATCATCCTAAGCAATGGAGAGGTTGGAAAGGAGACCCCATTAACACAGAAACCTCTCTGCCCCCTCAGTACGAGAACCAGACCAAGCTGGCACTGGTGGGGAACTGGGGCACCACCGGCCTGACGTACCCCAAGTACTCGGACGTCACGGGCAAGATCAAACTGCCCAAGGACAGCTTCCGACCCTCCACGGGTTGGACCTGGGCCGGCGACTGGTTCATCTGCCCGGAAAAAACGTGAGTGATGGTTTTTTTGGTAAAATTACAGAGTTTGGGTGGGCTCTGCCCTGACCGCTGCTGCTCCCCAGGCTGCTGCACGAGGCGGACGCCGGGCACCTGAGCTTCGTGGAGGAGGTTTTTGAGAACCAGGTCCGGCTGCCCGGGGGGCAGTGGATCCAAATGGCCGATGCCTACACCGACGTGGTAAGGACGGTGTAGGGTCGGCGGGTTGGGGCTGGGGGGTCACCAGGCAAGGCTGCGGGTGCAATCCCTTGGGTTTGACCCCGTTTGTGCTCACTGGGGGCTGTCCCGGAGCCTGGCCTGGAGTGGGTACGGCCAAAAAGGCTGAGGGAAGCTGGCACGGGGCTGCAAGGGTCAGTGCCACCCTGGGGTTTTTTTTGGGACTGTTTGGTTGGGATCCCCGCTTTGTCCCGCAGAACGGGGAGAAAGTCCTGCACAAGGATGAGATCGAGTGTCCTCCGGGCTGGAAATGGGAAGACGTGGAGTGGGACACCGACCTCAACAGGGCCGTGGATGAGAAAGGTACAAGAAAGCAGCAAGGGGCATTGTGGTTTTCCCTCCCACGGTCCCATCGGGTACCAGGGGTGACAAAATCCCCTCTGTGGCTGCCTGAGCTGCAGGAGAAGGGGGTCAACCCTTGGGGGGTACCTCACCCCCTTTGCTCTATCCCAGGTCTATGGGGTGGGCAGCCACAACAGCATCGCTCCCCTCGCTGCTGGGGAAGGGCCTTCACGGGGGGGCTTTTGGGGCTTCTTTGCCCAGTTTAGGGGAAAACCACCTTGTGCCTGGACAAAGCTTGCCGTGAAAACTGCTCCAACTCTGGGTGTGAAGAGAGCCGGGAGGCCGGCCGGCGGGGGGTGGTGGTTGGTGGCCTCTTCACCCGCGTGTCCCCTTTTTGTCCCCAAGGCTGGGAATATGGCATCACCATCCCCCCGGACCGCAAACCCAAGGCCTGGGTGCCGGCCGAGAAGATGTACCACACCAACCGGCGGCGGCGCTGGGTACGGCTCCGCCGGAGGGACCTGGCACAAATGGAGGCCATGAGGAAGGTAGGCCGCGGCTGGGGAGAAAGGGGGTGGGAGCAGCTCACGGCCACGTCCCCGTCCCCGTCCCCTTCCCTTAGAGCCTGGTGGTGCTTTGGGGCCTCTGTGGTTTGCCCCTGGGGGGGTCAACGTCTCCCAGGGGTGGAGGCCTCTTTGTGGGGTGAAGCTGCTTAGGGGAGAGCTGTGCTTGCAACCAGGGCTGGCCCAGGTCCCAGTCCGTCCCAGTCCCAGTCCTGCTTCCCTCTAGGTGGTGCAGTTGGACTGCGAATGCCACCACAGCACGGCAGTGAGGTCCCCAGAATATTTCCTCCCAGTTTTCTCCATCTATGCACAGCTTTGGATAGAAATCCTGGGGTGTTCCCTGTCACCCCGTTTGCCAAAAGGGATGCAAATGTCCCGGAGAGGTGACAGAGATCTGGGGAGAAAAAAAAACAAACCCCTTTGTGTCCTCGTTACTGATGCCCTGGAGTGGTGACCCCATGGTGGCAGAGCCGTGGTGGCCACAGCAGGGGTCAGAGGCGGTGGCACAGTGGGGGACAGGCTGGGATTAGGGAAGCGGTGGTGCTGCCAAGGCTGGGAAGGATACGGCCCCATCCTTGCTCTGCTCAGGCAGCCCCCAGCCCAGCGAGGCCCTTTTGTGGGTGGGCTTCACCCAGCAGAGGGTCCTGAGCTCCCGGCAGGGACCTGGGCACAGAATGGGACGGGGACCCCCCAGCAGGCAGCAGCTGGAGGAGGCTGAGCTCTGGGCTTGGGTGGGCACAACCCTGACCCCACAGAGCTCAGGACGACCCCCCCCACACACGGACATCACCCATCGGCCGGGCTGGGGTCCTGCTCTCACCCACGGAGGGCTTTTGGGGGTGGTGGGACTGAGCCACCCCACCCCGGCCACCGGTGCTGAGCGCCCTTGGGGTCCCGTTTGGCAGCACAAGCAGGAGGAGCTGGACGGGGAGGGCTGGGAATACGCCTCGCTCTTCGGCTGGCGCTTCCACATGAAGCCCCGGCGCACCGATGCCTTCCGCCGCCGCCGCTGGAGGCGCAGGATGGAGCCCCTGGAGCGCACCGGTGCCGCCGCCGTTTTCGCCTTGGAGGGGGCCCTGGTAGGTACCCGCCCGCCGCCCGCTGTTTGTTTAGCTCATGTTCTGGCTTTCCTGATACTCGGGATTTCATAATCCGTTGGCTTTTCCAATAGCTGAATGAAAACCAACCGCGGCAGCACAAAGCCCCTATTATTGGGCTTTTTTTTTTTTCTTTGTTTTTTTTTTTCTTTTCCCCTTTTGGCTCTTTTTTTTTTTTTTTTTCCCTTTCTCTGCTCCGTGCTGTCCTGCCCCCTGGCCAAGGGCTGAGCCATGACATGTCCAGGACAAGCTGCTCCGGGGTGTCCTCTTGCTTTGGAGCTTGGCGTACATCTACTAGCCCCATTTAGGGGGTCCTGGCAGCCACCCACCCCCACGGGGACTGGCAGGACACCTGATTTCACCCTTAGACCCATCCATCCTAGTTTTGACCAGACAAACCTCCTTCTGCATCAGCTCCACCCTTTGCATGGCACTCACGGGGGCTCTGGCTGGAAAACCCCATAACGTTTTAAGCCCCCTGGCTGTGTTTATCTCCCCCAGTGCTATGGGATGGGGTATTGCTGGTTGGTGGCTGCCCCTTTGCAGGGGGGCTGCTGGAGGTTTCTCACCAGGCTGTGCCATCGCAGTGCGCCCATGGCTCAATTTGGGGGGTCCAGGTGGGGGGCATCTGATGGGGCTGCTTTGGGGCTGCTCCCGTAGAGCATCGTGGCCCCAACGCAGCCATCCAGTCCCCCTACACCAAGCCTGAAGTGTAAATTTTCCCCGCTTGAATCTCAGCACAATGCAAGGAAAACCCTCGGCGGTGTCACCAGCACCAGCAGGGTCCCAGGAGTTTGCAGATTTGTGCCCTCCCGGCTCCTTTCTCACACCCGGGCATATTTCACAGAGCGCTCCAGTTCCCAATTTCACACCTCGGGAACGAGGGCGCTGAGCCACAGGGGTGCTGAGGATGAGGAACACGGGGTCAGCGCTGATTTTACTCTGTTTTCGGTGCTTTTGAAGTGCAGGCAGCGGGAGGCAGCTTCCCTTGGCTGAGGCGTGCAGGATCCAAGGCTCGAAGCACTTCTGCTGCTCCCCGATCCGAGCGCAACGAAGCAGAGCAGGGATTTTGTCAGGAGAGGGAGCCCGGAGCCTCCCCGAGCTCAGATTTTACCCATGCTGGGGATTGTGACTGCCACTGATTCCTGGAGCCTCCCGCAGCCCCTCCTGCCTGCTGGCTCCTGTTTTCCACCACCCTCTCGCCCACATCCCCGTGCCCTTTCTGTGGCCGTGGCTGGGTTTGCCCGTGCGTGGCGCAGGGAAACCGAAGCGGAGGGAGGAATAAAGTGCAAAGTCAGGCAGAACACACCAGCACCCCGTTCCCTGAGCTGTTCGTGAGGGTTGTTTTCCAACAGGAGGGTGATACCGAACACACCAGAAGGAAGGTGTCTTGGGTGCAGGAATGTGCATGGGATTTGGGGTTTCAGGGGGGAGTCTCAGCCCACGGGGCTGATGCCCACAAAGCACCCGGAGCTTTTGCTTCTCACAGTGGGTCCAAGCTGAGGAATGGGGAGCTGGTGCTACAGGAGGCTTTTAGCACCCGAAATGTTACACCGTTTGCGGAACTGTGCTGTCATTTCCAGCTCGTGAGCTCCTCTCCAGCCTGCGTTTCACCCTGCGCCCACCCCATGAAAGCTGAGCATCTTTCCGAGTCCTTTCACCCCGGACTGGGTGGCTTGGCCCCCACCTCTGCCATATCAGCCTCCTTCCCTCTCGGGGATGATGTGTCCTGGTTTTTCTGGGACCTGCTGCATAGCAGCTGGCTCGTCTCTGATAGTTACAGAAGGAGACAGACCGCAGCCACGGCTCCACGAGCTCTGCGGCTCGGGGCCGTCTCCAGTTTCGGATGGAAATCCCAGAGGCTGTTCCCCGGAGCTGCGAGCAGCCCTCCCACCCCGTGAGCCTCATTTCTTCTGATCCTCCTCTGAGCAGCAGCTGAGGGAAGCCTTTTTGGCTGGAGGAGAGCTTTGGGGTTTCCGTACCAGCCTGGAAAATCCTGCCTGTCTCCACCGGGTTCTGCGTTCACCCCAGCTTTGGCTCTGCACCAGGTGTGACCAACCCTGGTCAAAGGGGGCTCCACGGTGGTGTAGGGTGGTGGGAACCCCCTTTTGCCCTGCTGCATGGATCTGGAGCATTTTGGAAAGGCAAAAAAGCCTCTGCGGACCACCTAAGCTCCTGATCTGTTTTTGGGACCGGGTGGCTCTGGGATCCAGAAACTCCATCCCAAACCCTTTTTCATTTTTCCTTCCCTTCCCTTCTTTTTTTTTTTTTAAACGCTCCCGTCTCTCCCTAGCATCTGATAACTGAAAATACTCAGAGATCAGCTTTACGCTGCCTGGAAAGCCATCTTTATGCTCCTTTTCCTGCAACTATTTCAAGCGGGACGTGGCAATTAAGAGGTGCTAAGCGGCCAAAACAAGAAGAGGAAAGAGCGTTGGCCAAGGTCGGCCTGGGCTCCTTCCAAGCAGCGGCCGGGGCGTTTCTCTGCGCTCGACACCAGCTGCATTGCTGTTTCCCAAGTTTATACCCCATTAATTTTGCTCACAAGGGGACTTTGTGAAATCGCTGTAGCCGCTGCCCCAAGAAGAAGAGTGCTGTGCCTTGCGGAGGGGCTTTGCTGAAATTCGGGGGGGTGGCAGAGGAGCCAGGACCCATCGGCTGTGGGTTGGGGTCCCTCAGCTGCTGGGCGAGGAGGAGGAGGAGGAGGAGGAGGAAGCAAGGCAGGGGAAGGTCTGATGCACACAAATCTGAGGCCATCTGACTTGGTGGCTCTGGGGCTTTGTTGACCCATCCCATTAACTCCCAGCATGGTATGGGTTGGGATCTGGGGTGAGGGAGAGCCCCAGGGTCACCCCATGGGTGTCCCCAGGAGCCTGACATCCCCTCGGACACCCCAGTGGACCAGCACCTGCAGAGGGTCCCAGTACAACCAGTATCCCATTGTCTCCCAACCAGTCTCCCATTGCTTTGTCTTGCAGGGGGGAGTGACGGATGACCGGAGCGATGACGGCAAATCTGTGTCCACCCTCAGTTTCGGTGTCAACAGACCCACCATTTCCTGCATTTTTGACTGTGAGTCCCCAAGGGGAGGGCAAAATTCTCCGGAGCAGCAGCGTGGGGGCTCCGCTGCGGGCACCCCATGGCCCCAAATCTCCTCCAGTGCCAACGGGTGGGGATGGGGCTGGGCACGGCTCCTTCTTGGGGACGTGGGCATGGACTCGTGGTGCTGCCAAAGCTCACCCTGAGCTCTCCCCTCACCCATTTCCCATTCCCCTGGCAGATGGGAACAGATACCACCTGCGCTGCTACATGTACCAGGCTCGGGACCTGATCGCCATGGACAAGGACAGCTTTTCAGGTGAGCCCAGCTGCGTGCATCCACGTTTGTGCTCGTGATTCGCGCTCTGATGAACGCCAGTAGGGTCACTGAAGCAAATTTCTGCAGCTTTGGGGTGTTTGTAGGGGTGTTTGGCAGCCGTGCAAAGGTGCAGTGAGCACCTGGGCACGGACAGGCACCGTATCCTGCATCCTCACGAGGATTTCTCCTCCGAGCTAAGAGCAAGGGGCTCATGGTTTGGGGCTTGCTGCGAACCAAGGGGCTCTGCTGAAGGGGGGAGACCCCGTTGGTTAGGAAATAAAAAGTTATTTTGAAAATTTGGGTGGAAAAAAAAAAACTGAGAGTGGCAGATGGGGGGACATCTCAGAAAATGGAATGAAATAGGAGATGAAGTTAGGATCAGGTGCGTCGTGCCGGAGGTCGATGGGTGCGGGTTGTTTGGGTGCCGAGGCTGCAAAGAAGCATCCTAAAAACAAGGTTGCTTGGTTTTAGGAGCATTTTGTTTGCAGCAGGGGCAGAAGCGTGGCTGTGGAGGGGGGGACACGCTGGGGGCTGTCCTTTGGAGCCCGAGGTGGGTGAGGACTGGCCCTCCAGCCGGGTGGCCCCATGTCCTCGTCCCCATGGCTCTTTGGTGCTTGTGACACGAGCTCCCTTTGTGCACGGCCGTTAGTGCTTCCGTGTCATTTTGAGGTGGAAAACCAGCAAAGTGGGGATGTTGCTATTTATCCCTGAGTCAGAGCCGGAGCTGGGGAGATGCAAAAAATCCCAAATGCTGCGTGGTGGGGCTGTGTCTGGGATGTGAGCACCCCTCAGCACCCCCTCAGCAGCGGTGCCCATGGGTGGGCGCATCCTGCACCCCCCCGAGACCCTCGCTGTGGCCACCCCACTGTGGGGATTCACAGAGGGACCGGGTTTGGGATTCCTCCTGGGGCTGACACGGAGGTGATGATGGACCTTGGGTGGGATGCAGGGACAGTCCCCAGAAGCGGTGACATCCCCGTGCCAGGCACCAGGACAATTGTCCCGGGGGGCTCGGGCTCCCCCCGCTGTTTGGAAGCAGAGGGGTGCGAGGTAGGGGCAGAAACACCCCGGAGAGGTGCAGGGGCACCCAAACAATCACCCAGTGTCTGCGCCCACCGAGGTCCCGTCTCCACAATGGGGTTGTTGTTCGCAACGGTGGGGACCGAGGTGATCTCACGGCCCCGATGGCGGAGCGGGGAGGGAGTCCCTTCCCTCGGAAAAACCCAGCCAAGGACAACATGAGTAACAACATGCCACAATGTGGAATTGTGATCTCCGCTGCCTTAACAAAGCATAAAGGAGTTCATTAAGGGGGCTTTACACAGTTATAAAAATAAACCTTCTGTGCACACGAGGGTCTAAACAAAGGGGCTTTATGGAGGCCTCCTTTAAAAAGAAGAAGAAGGGGAAAAAAAAAAAAGAGCAAAAAAGCAAATCCAAACCCATGTTTTTTTTTTTTTTGTTTATTGTAACGCATTCTGCTTGCCTCTTACTGGAAAAAAGCGCGTAAGTGGAAAAGGTTCTTCCCAGCGTGAATAGCGCTCGCTCCAGCCGGCCACCTCGCAACCAGCCCGGCTCATTAAACACGTCTGCTGCGGTCCGGACGCCAAGAAGGAAAATACATCCCCCCGGCCCCCCCAGCCTCTGGCAGGGGGAGGGAGCTGGGGGATGCTGCCCTGCTCCGCCAGAGCCCGTTGTGGGGTTTTTGGGGCTGAGCTCCATGCCCAGGGCATGCAGGGGTTGGTGTGCGCCCCTGTCAGCTCCCTGTGCTCTGCGTGGGGGGCACGAGAGCTCCTGTGGGGCTGGGGTCCCCTCCTGGGACTGTGGGGTTTTTGCAGTGCCAAGCGTTCATGGGGTCTGCCGTGCTCTTGGCCACCAGCAGCTCTCCTGGGGCTGGATTTGGGGTGACCTGGGGGGGACACCAGAGCGTGCTGGTGGCTCTCCGTGCTCTCTGTGGTGTTCCTGCGTGTTGTGGTGGGACATCAGGCTGGCTGCCCAGAGCAGGGCTCGTCCCTGTCCTTCTCCACAGGGTCCATCAGGTCTCCGGCCACCGTGACGTGCAGGTGCCCAGAGCCTTTTTTGGGTCAGGTGAGGTGCAGCCATCCTGGAGATCTTATCCTCAATGGGGACCGGTAGGTGCTGCCAAATATAAAAGGGTCTTCAGCCCCCATGGGGCCTTACAGCGTGACCCCAAATGTAAAAGGGTCTTCTTGCCAAATATAAAAGGGTCTTCAGCCCCCATGGGGTCTTACAGCGTGACCCCATGGCACGATTTTGGCCTCGGTCCCTGTCCTGCCTCTGAGGCTGCCTGGAAGGGAAGGTGTCGGAGGGGACTCAGATTTCAGGTTTCCGCCACTAATTGATCTCAGGCTTCCTGTGTTAATTGCTCGGGCTGTTGATGGAGGCTGCTCCTCACTGCTGCTGCCCGCGGCGTTTCCCCAGGTGGGGGTCAGGCTGTGGGAACAGCATCAAATAGTGCCCAAATGTGCCCAAAATCCAGGCTCTGTGAGGCACCTGCAGCTCCCCACGCACCTGCTTCAGGGTCTGGTCTTCACGTCAGGGTCAGGCTTGAAGTCACTGCTCACCCACATTCTTTTGGGGAAAAGAAAGCCACAAAATAAGCCAATAAATGAACTTTTTGTGCTTCCTTGCTCCTTGTGGACGGGGCTAGGAGTCATGAAAACAACCTGGACCATGACAGACCAGGTCAGATGGAGAGAAAACTTCTAATGGTACGGCAGCAGAGCGCTGGGAGATGGTCACAGCACCTTCACCAGCTGGAGATACCGCCCGAGGACAGGGTTGCTCTGGTTTATGTGGTCTCAGGGGATATCTGAAAGGTTTGGGACAAAATCCTTCATTAAAAGTTTTTAAGGAAGGGAAGCTGCATTGGAGAAGAAGGAAGGTTTTTGCATGGATTTTTTTGGTTTTATGAAGGTTTCTGCATGGATAAACTGCTAAGTTGTTGCTACATTGTGGTTTTCTTGCCCCAAAAAGAGCTGCAATGAGCAGAGATCTGGACTGGCCCTTTATGAGGAGCAGTTCCACAGGCTGAGACTTTTGAGCTTGAAAAGGGAGGATTTAGGCTCAGCAGGACGGAAACTTGCAGAACTCCAGGTGCCCTGGGTGGGCAGGGGTGGGCTGCTCCTCTCCTCATGAAGGGCCTGGGGGGTCTCGGAGGGAGACAGGACCGCAAAAACCACGAGGGGAGCCTGGTTATGGTCTGATTCAGCCTTTAACCTCTTGCCCACCGCCCCTTGCAGATCCGTATGCCATCGTTTCCTTCCTCCACCAAAGCCAGAAGACGGTGGTGATGAAGAACACCCTGAACCCCACCTGGGACCAGACGCTCATCTTCTATGAGATTGAGATCTTCGGGGACCCCCAGAAGGTGTCCGAGTCCCCTCCCAACATCGTGGTGGAAATATACGACCACGACACCTACGTAAGTGCGCTGGGGCACTATTTCATGTAAACTACAGGAAAATTGGCTGAGCCTTCGTGGTGTGGATGTGCTGGGGTAGGTGGGAGAAACGCCCAGCACCATTCCTGCCCTCTGGGCTGCAGACCTGTAGCATCTCTGGGTGGCTCAGGCACCGACCTGGACTTTTGGATGATAAAAATCCAGCGAGTGGCCGTGCCAATGATGCCCGTGGTGCCCTGCTGTAGTTTCCAAGGCTGCGTGGATGTGCTGTGTTGCACAGCAGCCCAATTAGCCATGGTTCCTTGTGGAAAAAAAGCTTGGGACAGGATTTAAAGCAGTTGTGGGAACAGGAGGACCATGCGCTGTTTGCCCAGCTGCCCACAGGATCCAAAGTGCCTTGTAGTAATGGCATTTTGGAGATAACCCCAAATGGCACAAGGGCAGGAGGGCTTTCAGACCCCGTGTAAGAGCAGTGCATGAATGCACGGCACCGCCAACACCTTGGGAACACCTCGGTGCATCTCCCCCCTCCTCTCTTCCCTTCCCGGGAATCTCACCTCCCGTTTAAGCCAAAATGTGCAAAAAGGGCACATTTCTAGCCCTAGCAGTAACAGGGAGGAGCTGGAAAACCTGGGTCTGTGCGGGCATCCGAAATCCTCTTTGGGTGGACGGGTTCCTCGTGGGTCAGAGCCGTGGCTGGTGCCTGAGGGGGGCTCCCCGTCCCTCTGCTGCCTTGCAGGGTGCGGACGAGTTCATGGGGCGCTGTGTCTGCAAGCCCAGCCTGCAGCGCTCACCGCGGCTCTCCTGGCACCCGGTCAGCAAGGGCAACAGGAGCGTCGGGGAGCTGCTGGCATCCTTCGAGCTGATTCAGAGGGAGAAGGTGAGCTCCCCATCCTACTCTGACTGCAGTTTTGGCTTCTTCCCTCTGTGTCTCAGCACTTTCCCAGCCTTCGCTCGGTGCTGTTACCCCGGCTGGGCTCGGCGCCTCTCCGGGTGCCCCTCCGCAGCTTCCAGAGCACTGGGAAGAGGCTTGGTGCTGGATCCAAGCCTTGGCTGTTGGGGTGCTGATTTGGGAGGTGCTGCGTCCATCCAGCCAGCCTGGCCAGGCTCACTTCGCTCCGAGCCTTGGCACCTCTGCGCCTCCGGAGGAGCCCAGAGCATCCAGCCCCAGCTCGCTGCCCTTTGCTCGGAGTAGAGTTAATTTCCGGAGGGGGTTTACGAGAGCTGGGGTGGGCGGTTACTGCTGCAGCAAGCTGCCCAGCTCTGCTGGCTGCTCCCCTAACGAGCCGCAGGGGATGCAGGCTGCACCGCGGAGCCAGCCCGGGCTGGAGAGGCTGCTCTTCGTGCCCCGTGCGCTCTCGTTCCCTTTCCACCTTTTTCATCCCTTGCTTTTCCACTGGCTGCAGCCCAGCTCTGCCTCCGTGCCAAGGGAAGTGGATGGGAGCCTCCATCTGCCCCTCCTGCTTCCCCTTCCCGGCCCCCAGGTGCTAATTGGGAACGGGGTCCCGCAGCTCCCTCCTCTCTCTCCCTGCCATGTGGGTCCCAGCGCTGCTCCTGCACGCTGCTGGGGATGTGCTGGGGCTACTGGGGGGACCGGGGATGTGCCCACATGGGGATGCTGACATCGGCCATACACCAATTTTGGCTGCATGGAGCTGGGCAGGTTGGCAGCCACCGGTGGAATACGGGAGCTGATGTCCAGGGGAGGTGGTGAGGGGATGCTGCGTGCCCCCAGGGAGGTTTCTGCTGCCAGGACGGGGCTAAATCATCTGCACGCTGCCTCTGCTGCCTCCTCACCCCATGCAGACGCTGCAGGACTGGGTGGGAGAGATTTTGCTTGATCCCAGCTGAAGGCAGCCTGGTGGAGGCAGAGCCCAGCTCCAAAACGTTTCTCATCTCCAGGAGTGCAAACAACAATTGTGTGTTTTTCTTCTCCACAGCCGGCTGTCCATCACATTCCTGGCTTCGAGGTAATGCCTCCCTCCTGCTTGTAACTCCTCGGCCCTTCACCTCCAACTGTCCCCTGTGCTCCCCTGCCCCAAAGAGCTGCTGGGTCTCAGCAGACGTATTCTTGCCCTGAGAAAATTCAGCATTTCCATTGCGGAGGGCTGTGCTTCCCAGCACGCTTCCTACCCAAAAGCCCAGCAAAGGCATTAACTGATGCTGGGTTTTTGAAGGTTTTAAGTCACCTCCACTGATTTCTTACACTGAGCCAGGGAAGACAGAGATTTGGACATCATCTTTTTCCCATTTGGCTATCAGCTGCAGTTTAAAAGTCCTAAAAGCGTATGGTTTTGAGCTGTTCTAACTCGACTTTCTGTCTCTTCTCCAAACAGAACGAGCTCTCCTCCAGTCTGGATGAGGTGAGTCTGGAAGATTTTTTTTATCTCCACGTCTTGGAAATTGTTACAATCCACGGGGCAGCCACTTTTCGGATGGGTCAAATTCATTGCATTAGGATTTTAATAATGAGTGGTGACCAGCAGGACGGGGTGGATGGCTCTGCCCGTACCTCAGGAAGGGCTCCCGAGGCAGGGCACGTCGGGTGGTATTTAATTAACCTTTGTGGGGTGTGTGTGCATGAGGTCTGCTGATGTTCCACCTGGCCAAACAAAGCATGTGAAAGCCCAAATGCTGCGCTGACCTCTCACTGGACCTCAGCTGGAATACCCCATGAAAAGCTTGCAACATTTTGGGGGAATTCACCATGAATTGTGGCATGTGCTGGTGTGTCCCATGTGCTCTAAATGAAATACAGACAAGGCTGTACACCCTGCAGAGCCCATCGCTGGCTGAGCCGAGCACTGCCAGGGTGGGCTGGGGTCTTGGAAAGCCCAAGGCAGGGAGCTGAACGAGGGCACCACGCTCTGAGTGCTGCGGTGGCCCTAGGAGCCAGGTAACCCCCAAGTCTGGGAGATGAGCGATGAGGAAACTGGGGCATGGAATGAACTTGGCCACCCTCTGAAGGATTGGATGGCGTGAACACATCTTTGCAAAATTAGTTTCTTCCACCCAAAGTGGAAGCTTCTTCCATCAGCCGTTCCTGGTGGTGCGGGAGGGCTCGTCTTCGTGCTCCACGTGTGCTGAGATGGCTGAGCTGGTGGAAACGTAACCATCTCTCTGCTCTTTCTCCTCCATTTCTTGCCACTGCCATTTCTGGACTGGGCACTCCACAGCTCTGCACCCCCGCCTTGTTCTCCGAGGGGCTCCTTCAATGGGTACCTTTTATGCTCGGACACTCGGCTCCCCTCTGTTCCTTTGCCTCTGCCCAGAAAGCAAATCCAGATGCAGCCTGGCCTCACCCCCTGCCCTGCAGGAGCCCCCTCCAATCCAGGTCCCTCAGGTTGCATCCCAAAGAGCAATGCTGAGAGCCCCCGGGGGCAGCCAGGCTCATGCACACCCCAGATTTGGGTTCATGTTGTGGCTGGATGGCCAGGCTGGCACCAGACCTTCTCCTGCCTTGCTGTTTGGTGGAAGCAGGAGCAGCCCTTTTAGGACGCATCCCCTCCACGCACTGGGATTTAGCTTTAACCTCGAATTGCTCAAACAGGGAGAAGTTGCCAGGCATTGTTTCAGCTGGGCTGAGCCATGTGGATTTTCGCTCACCTCTCTTCTATCCCCACGTGAAAGGCAGGGTTGGACGAGGTGCCCTCCGGAGCTCCCTTCCACTCTGATCCCCCCCCAGCTTGGCCCCACTCAAAAAAAAATCAGTTTCCAGCTGCCCCCACAGGCCTTTGCATGGATGTCTTGTCCTTCCTGCTGTGTCAGGGAGTTGCTTGTTCCCTACGATCACCCTGAATCCTCCAAGGTGCCTCCATGTGCCTGCCCATCCCCAAAACTCTCCCCCTTTCTGTCCCAGCTGGTGAAACCTCTGATGCTCCAGCAGTGATTTGGGAGAAGCACAGCCCCAGCTGGAGGCGTTGCAGTGCTGGGAGCCAACCGGGTGCTGTTCCTGGCAAAGCTGCTGGTGGACCCTGCTGATGGGGCAAGCAGGAGCTCTTTCCCTGAGGCTTTCCCCTTTTCCCTTACGGATTTGCCAGAGGACAGAAAAATTGAATAATCTTTAGTCCAATGGCTATGAGGAAATGCAACACGTGGCATTTGTGCCCGTGGAAATTTAGAGGGGAAAAGTACTCCCTTTTGGGGAACAGACATCATATTTTGAGCCTTCCTTGGGGCTTGGAGATGGGCTGACTTCTCCAGCTGTGTCTCTGGTGAGCAGCTAAAATGCAACTTAAGCAAAATTAAAGATAGAAACAATTTTATTTTTATTTTTTTTCACCGAGCAAGGACAGACTGAGGTTTGTCCTGTTTCAGCCCCTGCTTGGGCACCTTGATGTGCTCTAGGTGCAGTGTGTGACAAACCTGGGGACAGCTCTCCAAGGGCCGTGCCGTCCATCCTGCCACCCCAAGCCTGACCCAGTACACAAAGTTCAATTCAGCAGCAGCTGCCACTGCAAAGCAGAGCTTAGCATCTGGTACATCCAGCATGCCACCGTGGAAAACCCCTTTGTAGTGCAGTCGTCTGCACATGCACGTAAGCCCCAACCAGTCCCATACTTGAAATGCATACACGCTTAATTTAATGCAATAATGCTTCAGCCTGAAAAGGATGCTGCTCTCCTAAATCAGTTCCAACTGCCCTTGGTTGAGGGATGCATTTTTAGAGGTTTTGCTTTCGTTCCTGCCTTTTCGGTGAGTCTGAACTCAAAGATCCAGGTCAAGAAGAACCCAAACCCTGGCAGGGCTCTGAGCCCATCCTCTGTCAGCAGCCAGGGAAATCTGGCTCCCTCCTTCCTCCTCTCTGAAGGCAAATTTTGGGTCCCTCGCCTGTTGTCTGGACTTGGTCTCACGGTGAAGGAATCCTCCTTCTGCCTGCACCTGAGCCAGCATCATTCTTTTATGGGATCAGTGTTAAACTAGTATCTTAAATCTTATCACAAAAGTCCCCCCAAAAACATACTTTTCAGTGCTGAATTGGGGTTACTCCTGCCATTAGTATCTTGGGAGTACTTTATGTCCAACCACGTAGTAATTCAGAACTGCCCTATTGTAGGGACAGCTGATGGGCAACAAGTGGGCATTTCCCTGAACCATCTGCAGAACAGATGGACTGTTGGGGATTCGTAGGGTTGGTAATTAATTAGTTTCGTATCAGCCATGTAGCTCTGTAAACTGTGCTTTTAGCGAGTTGGTGGCATTCCTTTATTATTATAAAAAACAAATACATCTTTTCTCAAATTCCTTAGAATCCAACAGTACCAGTGGGATCAGGGCCGCGCTGCGTTAGGATAAAAGGCAGCCCTAGCTCAGGAAAGCTTGTGATTCCCTCAAAAGAAGATACAAGGTGGGAACACAGAAGAATAACATAAATTTATACATCGCACACAACACAGCAATAAAAATCCCGTGCTTTCATGCAATGGGTATCCCAGGCCTTGAGAGGTGGCAGAGGTGTTTTACTTTGAATAATTACCTCTGATGGTTGGACTTTGTGGTCGTGAAGGTCTTTCCCAGCCCAAATTGTATGATTGTGCCGTGTGCCCCTTCTTGCAGCGGGGGTGATGCCAGCCTGCGTCCCATCGTGCTGCCCCTGCTGTGCCCGCGGGGCTGTGGGCTCACTGCACGGAGCTAACTCCAACCCCACTAATTGTCCCCCTGCTGCTGCTTCATCCGCTCTCCATCCCTCCCCATAACCACCTCACCATCAGCCTGGGCTGGAATTGATGTGGTTTCATCTCCTCCTCCCCCAAAAGGAGATTGTGCCCCGGTTGGGGGCAGGAGATGCCTCTCAGTTCCCTTCACTTCTCCCAAGCAAGAGGTGCTTGGTCTTTTTTGGGGTCAGATTAAAGGGAGGCGATGGGGCTGGTGCCCCCCCTGACCCTCTCACCCTTCCACCCCGCAGTCTGCAGACTCCGACCTGCCGTACCCGCCGCCCCAGCGGGAGCCCAACATCTACATGGTGCCCCAGGGCATCAAGCCGGTCCTGCAGCGCACGGCCATCGAGGTGAGTGGTGGGGAGCACACGGGGGGGAGACCCAGAAATGGGAGCTGAGCAAACCTGGTGGGCACAGGGTCCAGCCAGCGCCGTTTTTTCTGCCTTCTCCTCGCAGCACCTGGAGGGTTTGGCTCTCCCTCGCGGTGGGCCAACCTTTGGGTTTGCCTCCCTTTGCTGAGAAGCTCGGGGCAGACCCAGAGGGATGAGTTTGGCTCAGTCTTGTTAGAAATGGCTCAGTCTTCGAAATAGGATTAAATAAAAAAAAAAATAGGATTTATTAAAAGAATAGAGGTAAGCAAACAGCGCTGGGTGCACCGGGAGTCTCTGCTCCACTGGGACGAACACCAGTTACATCAAGCAGCTGATTTTTATGCTCCTAAGCTAATACATATTCATTACTATTTCTAAAAAAAAATAATTATTATAATTAGCTTCTGGGGTCCAGTCCCTCCTACTGGAGCATGCGCATCAGTCTCGGGTGGTCCCTCTGGGGGTCTCTAGGGGTCCCTCTGGGGGTCTCTGGGGGTCTTTCATGCTGAAGGCTCGGAGTCTTCCTCTCCAAGTTTTTTTCTTCTCCTTCCCCTTTGTACTCCTTGGCACCATGTCAAGTTTATAGAACATCCCCTGCAGGTCTTGTCTCCCAGCCATCCTTCAGCTTCTTTTTTTTCTTCTTCTTAATCTCTTGGCCACCTGGCCAGATATCAGAGGCTTGCATAGTATCCCATAACAGTCACTAGCTGTTATCAGTTGTTCTGAAACCCCCAGACCTCAAAGACTTCATACAAACACAAATAGCTTTCTTATTGACACTCACCAGTAATTAAAACATTCCTCACCAGCCATTCACAGGGACAGTCACACCTATAGCAGTGTTAAATTAATCTCGAAGAAGACAAAAAAAAGGCTCTGTTAGAACTAGAAGTCCGGAATAACAAAAGCAAATGGGTTCATAAATTTGAGGAGTATTTTCCGAAGACTTGATAGATTGAGTAGAATGAGGGGGAGACTGGGACACATCTGTGGTTCAAGGATTAAATTGCCAGTGCAGGGCCCAGAGGCAGGCAGGACTGTTCTTTATGGACACGAATTGTTAAAAAATTCCTCACAGTCTTTCCGTCCCTCTCACCCTGCAGATCCTGGCCTGGGGGCTGAGGAACCTGAAGAGCTACCAGCTGGCCAGCGTCACCTCGCCCAGCCTGCTGGTGGAGTGCGGTGGGCAGCTCGTGCAGTCCTGCGTCATCAAGAACGTCAAGAAGAACCCCAACTTCGACGTCTGCGTGCTCTTCATGGAGGTGGTGAGGACCTGGGCCCCCATGGGGTCATCATCATCATCATCATCGGGAAGAGACCTCCGAGGGCCTATAAAACAACCCTGGGCTGGAGCTGATTCTGCCCTGCTCGGCCTAACCTCCCTTTGGGCAGTTTTGGGGTGGGTGCTGTGTGTAGTGATGTGTTCCCCCCAATCTCTACCCGCAGCGTTTGCCCAGCGAGAGCCTGTACAGCCCCCCCATCATCATCAAAATCATCGACAACCGGCCCTTCGGCCGCAGGCCCGTGGTGGGGCAGTGCACCATCCGCTCGCTGGAGGCCTTCTACTGCGACCCCTACCACGAGGAGGCCGACGGGCCCCAGGAGCACGCAGGTACCCGTGGTGCCAAGCCCACCACCAGCTGCCCCCCTCACCCTGCCCCAGGAGGAGCTGAGGGTGGTTGTGTGTGTGGGTTTTAGCTCAACACGGCTGTAAAAGGCCTGGGAGGTGCCAAGGAAGTCTGGCTCTGGGGCCTGTTGGTGGGTTGTGTCATGGCCAAGCCCCATGGACGTGAGTTTTGGGTGGTGCGAGGGCTCTGGGCATGGCCGAGGCTGCTCCTGGAGCTTGATCTGGAGGTGGTTTGGTTCTGGGGTCTGTAGCAGCTGGGTGTCCTGCTCATGCCTGTGCTTGCTCCGATTGCAGATGACGTGAGCCTCACGCCCAGGGACGACGTCCTCATTGACATCGATGACAAAGAGCCCCTTCTTCCTGCCCAGGTATGGGAAACGTTGCCACATTTTCTTACTTTGCAAGCATTTTGACGTGGGGGGACTTGTCTGGGTGCAGGGCTGGGCAGAGATCAGTGCAAATGTGGGGTCATGGTTGGTCGTTGCCTTCTTTTCCCCAGTGTTGCTCGTTGTTTGCAGCTCTGTTTTTTTGGCAGAGGGCTGTGGTGGGTACTGGGGCTGCTGGATGGCAATTGGATGTGCTTGAGCTGAGCTGATGAAGGAGAAACGTGTTGCTGCTGTCGCAGAAAGCAAATTTGGGCGTGCTGTGAGTCTGGGGGCTGCAGGACACCCACCTCCCTCTGCCAGCAGCTGTGGCCTTTTTGAGGCAGAGACATCTCAGTGCCTTGATGCACCGAGCCAGTGGGGACCCAACAGAGGGTCTGGAAACCCTGGCCCGAGTGCACGAGTGTCACTGGGAGGGAAAAGCAGCTCGAGAGAGAAAATACAGCTGACGGCCTCATTGGCTTTCCATGTCCTTGCCGTTGGTGGATTTGTCTTGACTGTTTACAGTTGTGCTTCATCTTTGTATCAGCAAAGTAACTGGAGCATGTCTGTAAAAATCACGGCGAAACGAGGCTTGGAACGGGAACCTGCGCTGCTCCAAATGAAAAAGCAACACCTTTTCTAGCCCGGTGCAGAAAGCACTTGACAGAAAAGCGAGGGCATCACTGAACAGCACGGGCAGGAGGGCTGGGACGTGGCGCATGGCTTTACCCTTGGTTTGCTGGGTGATGCTGGGCAAAAGATGCTGCTTTGTGGCACGAGGAGGTGATGTGGAGAGGGCACTGGTGGCCTTGGCAGGGTTTCAGGAGGCTGCTTGCCCTCAGCCGTGCCCTGGGCTGGTGGCGTTTGTGGCACAGGACCTGGTGCTGATGATGGTCGGTGTGGTAGCTGCAGCTCTGGAGAGCTGTGATGACATCAGTTCTGATTTTTTAATAGCAAAATCTACCCGGATTTCATTTTAGATGGATGATTTTTTTTTTTTCTGGTGTGTTCTGAAATCTATCATTTACCTTTTATTTTCTCTCCTCTGAGGGAGCCGGGGCTGCTCAGCCTGCAAAGACACCTGCAAAGTCCCAAGAGAGAATTGTCATTCCCTCTGGGAACCTCTGTTTTTGCCCCAAAGATCCTTTATGAGCTTGGGTGGGCACAGTGGGGGCTGCAGAGGGTGCTGACCCCTGCTCCCCCGCTCTGCCATGCCCACCAGCGCCCAGACTGCCCTGATCAGATCACGTGGGTTTTTAACAAAAAGGCACCTCTTTTTCAACGATTTCACGGATTTTTCTTTTATTTGGAGGCTTTCCTCGCTTTATTTTCTAGGGGGGAGAAATCAAGAAAGGCTTTCGTGTTAATTTTGCTGCAGTTCATTCTCTTACAGTCTCCCCCCTGAGACCCATTCGCTGTTTTCCTGTTTTCCCCAAGTTTTGTTGCACCTGGAGGCGAGGGCAAGGAGGAAAGAGAAACGCAGGGCTCACGCTCTTCAATTTGCACACCAAAAATGGCACAATTTCAAGTTTCTTTTGGCTTCCATGGCTTTTATTGCCGTTAGCTTGGATAAGAAAATGAAAAAAAATCACCTTTGCTAGGGGAACAACCCGAGGCATGGCCCTGGGGGTGCATCCCTGCTGGGAAATTTGTGCGTTTTCTATCCACGATCATGGGAAATCTCCCTTTCCCTAGCTCTGATGTTCTTCCCCGAGACCTTAGGGTGCTGCTTGTCCCGGAGGAGACCCCCCACACCATGGATCAACGTTTCATCCTCAGCATAGCGGGCTCTCTGTCCTCTCCTTGCCTTGGAAATTAGGGGCACCTAATTTCTGCAGCAGGGTGGGACCCAGCACGGGGACCTGGTGTGCTCCCGGTGGCTGGGTGCTGGGGCTGGAGGTGACCTGTGTTGGGTCTGCTGGAAGGAAACGAGGTTTCCTACCAACCTGGAGGCAAAATGCATTTCTAGAAGGTGACAACCAGAAGGTGGGGTGCACATCAGGGCTGGTGGCTGGAGAGGGGCTGCGGTGGCTGAGCCGAGGTCCCTCAGCCGGTGCGTGCAGAGCGAAGTGAGGTGAGCCCTTGCTCGTGTTTGACTTCCCTTTAACCAAAATAAATGACAGCACCGCGTTATACCCTTATTATTTATTTTTTTAATTTCCAGCAAAGGTCAGAAATGTCTCCCTAGCAGTGTCCCCAGCCCTGGAGGCAGAACCCCGTTCCCCCAGCACAGCAGCAGCACCTCCCTCCCCAGCCTGCCCCTGCTAGCAGGAGATTTTCATTATCATTCCAGCTGTGTGGGCTCAGGCAGGCATTATTTTGGGACCCCTGCAGCTCCACAATAGCTGCCTCATGCCCTGGGGCACTTCTGAGCCCACCAAAAGCATCTGAGCCTCGGTGCAGCCCCGGGGCAGGTCAGAGCCAGGCAGGCAGAGGGAGGTGGCAACGCCAAAACGCTCGTTTTCAGCATTTTCAAAGTGCAAAACTTTGGCACTTCTTCCCTGAAACAAACATTTCAGCAACAAAACACCCTGCCACGAATCGGATCGCTCCGGCTGACCCCAGATGGGTTCTCCTCTGTTTGTTTGTTTGTCTTTCAATCCTGCCCTTTGTTTGCAAGCAGGGGAGGGGGCGGCTGGTTCCTGGAAAGCCAGAGCAGAATTCCCACCACCTCCCTCCCCCAGCCTCCAAATCCTGGCCCTGGCCACCGTCCCTCCCCGTGTGCCCACCCCTGCTGGTGTCGGAGGTTGGGTGACCCATGTGCTGGTGGTCTGGCACCCATGGGATTTCTCCTGGGGATGGTTTTTGGGACCCCTGCCCGTGGTCCTCGCAGCGCCGTGACCTTGGCCACGGGAGCTGCCTGTGCATGTGTGCATGGGTGTGCTGCGTGGGGCTCCAGAGCCTCTCCCCATCCCTGCCAAGCCTGGCCTCGGTCCCTCCCCTGATGGATGAGGGGAACAAAGGATCATTTTGTTGTCCTCCTCCGAAAGAGAGCAAACAAACAGGCACAAAACCCCTCCGCGCCGGGGCTGCCGTCCGCCTCCTCCAAGCGGGGTGGGCAGCTCAGCCCGAGGTCTGCCTAAAACACGGCTGTGCACACGTGAACTGGGAGGAACAACGCAAAGAAAAGCTCCCAGGACTCACAGAGAGGCAGTTTTTCTGCAACAAAAGTCTCCCAGGCTCTGCCTTTTGGGTTTGCCCCTCTGTGGGATGCGCACGCAGTTTGGTTGTGCAAGCACTGAGCGTGCTGGGGCTCCCTGAGTGCCTCTTGTCCTTGGTGCTCTTCTCCTGGGTCCCAAACCCTGAGGTCCACCTGCAAAGCTTCTTTCTTTTTGATAAAAGTCATGAAACTGTCATCACCTGACGGGCTCCCATTTTAATGGGAAGTGAGCCCAGAGAAATCTTTCCCCCGTGGAGCAGCTGTAAATTCAGCATCTCCTGCTTGACCCAAGCTCTGCCTCCAGGACGGGTCTCCAGCAGCCTCAGGTGCTCTGAAGGCTGCAGCCAAGGCTTGGGGCTCCCAAAATCACCTTGAAGGAAACTTGTTCAGCTGCAGGACGAGCTGCACCTGTGCTGGGTGTTTTGTTGGTACCAGACCTCGGTCCTGAGCTCCCCCAGCCCCGCTGCCCCCCTTTTGGCTCCAGGTGACCCCAGCCCCTCGGTGTCCACAGCAGGAGATGCTCTCCTGTCCCGGGACACATGGACAGCTTGGCTTTCCCTCGTGGCTTTTTTATATCATGTTTTTTTGCTGCAGTTTCCAGCCAGAGACTGGGATAACCCCTTGCTTGCACCCATCCAAACCCTGTCCCACCTGAGGAACATTAACGAGTGCTGTAACGAGCACTTCTGGGGGTGCTTGGTCCAGGGACGGGGAGGGAAGGTGGAACATGTTGGGTTCATTCCTTTAATTTCTCCTGAAATGTGCTTTTGCTGATGTTTGTTGAGCATTGTTTCTCTAACCCCACTGACAACCAACCATTTTAATTTGTAGCTTGCCGAGGGTTTGACCAGCTCAGCACTAATTAACATGCCAGCTTCTCGGTCCGAACCTCATGTAGGTATTGCTTCGTTTCTAACTTAATTGCTCGATTAATTGTTTTAATGAACGGTACATTTTTATATGTATATATATATTTAAAGATCTGCCAACAGGGGTGTTTCTTTCAGTGAAAGATCCTCCTGCTGCCCCAGAAGCAGGGCAGATTCCACCTCCTTTGTCACCCCAAGGCAAGGAGGCTGGGAGGCAGGATCCTGCACGAGGTCGGGGTCTTTCCCTGCAGGAAGGCTTCAGCTTTTTGGTAGGGTCGGTCGGTAGCCTAGTCTTGGTCCATCAGGTGTGCAGGATGGTGCCCTCAAAGCACGGGGACGGGGCAAATAGGGACGGATTCCTCCTTGCACAGCTTCTCCTGCTCCCTTTATGTGCGATTCCTGAGCAAACCAGGCTCTGGGGATGTGAGAAGGGCAGCGAGGCTGCTTTGCCTTCTTAGAGCTGACGGCACAGGGGAGCAATTTTTTTTCCAAGGGTGGAAAAAAAGCTGAAAAGAGCAAAATCCAAGCTAGGAGAGCACCTGGGGTAAGAGTTGGGTTGCAGCTTCTCATGGCAGCTCTACCTTTTGCATGCAGAAGCCCCCCCAGGGGCACCTTGGTAGGTTTGGCACAGGGTTGGAGGCACGTTGACCTCCGGGGTGGCTCTCCATACAGTACAGATGGGTGCTTTTTGGCCCCACGTGCACCCCTCCTGCACCCCGGTCTTTCTCTGTGCCCCCCCTTTGTGGTTCAGAGGGTGGCAGCGCTGGATGCCGAGCCTGGAAACAAAAGGTCCATAAATAGCCTCCCTCCACCCCTGTGTTCATCAGCATTTTTAATTTACACCAATATGTTTTTATTTTACTTCAAATAAAAATCCGAAGGAGGGAAAAAAAAAAAAGCTGCAAACCATTAATTTAAAATAAAAGCTACGGAATATTAGGCAGTAATAAGCCCCTTCTCCTGGCCTGCACCGGGACCCTCCAAGGCTGTGATTAAATGCAATAAAGCTCGTGTTGTAGGGAGCAGCTGATGTTCCCGGGGGAGCCGCGCCACCGAGGCGTCCCGTGCGCCTTCCTTCCTGGCTCCTTCTCCTTTACGGCCGGGGATCTTCGCACGAAAGCAGCATCTTCTGTGGCTGCAGAACGAGGCATAGGGGCTGCAGCTGCTTAAATGTTAGGGAAAAAAAAAAAAAAAAGCTTTTACGGCCAAAAATTGCAGCCTGGTGTGGAGCGTGCGAGGGAGCTGACCACGAGCGTGAACGCCCTGGAGCAGGGGCAGCGTGGTGGGACCGCATGGACCTGCTGCCCAGCCCCTTGCTGTGCTCCTCAGCAGCTTTTTTCCTTCATCTCGAGGGTGTTGCTCAGCTCCTCCCCAGCAGGGTGCTGAGAAAACCTTGAAAAATCTGAGAAAACCTTGAAAAATCTGAGAAAACCTTGAAAAATCTGAGAAAACCTTGAAAAAAATGAGAAAACCTTGAAAAAAATGAGAAAACCTTGAACCCATCCCAGGCACAGCAGTGACATCAACTTGGGGCTACCAGAGCTGGAGCCAGCCTGAGTGCAAACCCTGAGCCTGCACTTGTTTGTAGCCGGGTTTCTTCCCCTCCTGATCCCATCCCTCTTCGTGCTCCTCTGGTACAGCCCCAGCCAAAGTTGTAGAGTCAGAAAAATCCAAAAATGCTGGGGCTGGAAGGGATCTTAAGGACTGTCTAATTCCCAAAGAGACTCATGACTTCCTAACACCTCTGAACAAGCCTTTTGGTGAGCTATTTTCCCCTCCCTGTAATTATCCACAAATAATTGTTGGGAGAGCACAGGGGGCTATAGGGTGGCATGGACCGTGGGCTACAGCGTGCCCAGGCGGTGCCATCCCCAAGGCAGGGTGCTAAGGAGGCACGGCTGAGAGCCTCAGGAAGGCACAGGGATGCTTCTGAAGAACTGCTTTAAAATGTTGGCAGAAAGAGCCGTGAATTACCAAAAAGCTGATTGTGCCAACAACAAATAAGCCCGGTATTTTTCGGGGCAATAGTGGGGTTGGGGGCAGTTTCCACCCCTGGCTTCCTGCCTGACCTCAGTGCCATCCTTTAAGCTGTCCTGGGCCCTGTTCCCTCATTTGTGCTGTTCAGACGCTGCCGTTTGCATGGTTTAATTTGCTTGTCCGTGCTAATTAACCCGAAACATACTCAGATTTTTGTGGGTTCATTTTATCCAGAAACCCTCATTCTGCCGGCGGGGCTCTGCGGGATTTTGTGCCCCGGGTACCTCTCAGCTGCCCCTTGGGCTGTCCTGGTGCTCCTTCTGAGCAGCACAAATGAGCCCTGGTGTGGGTGGCAGGAGGTGGGAGCTGGGGGTCCTGGTGTGCAGGAGAAGCATGGAGCATCCTTTGTAGGACCGTGCGCATCCTTTGGGTTGATGCCCGTGCAGCTCCTGCCTTCCCAGCGGTGCAAAGGTCTGGCCAAAGGTCCCCCCTCCAGCCTCAGCTTGCAGGATTTGGGCACTTCGCGACCATTCCCAGAGGAGAAGAGCTCACAAGGAGCCCTCGGACACGGCTGAGCTGCAGCAAGGAGCCTCTGCATACCCTCGCGAAGCGCCACGAGGTGCTTTCTGTGGGTTCCTCGTACCCGTTAGTTTGGCTTGCGGTGCCTTGGTTGTAAGAAATACAAATAACCCATCACATGGCAAGTTAGCGAAGCTAACCCAAGCCAAAAAAAAAAAGAAAAAAGAAAGAAGTCAGAATCTGTAAACTATTTGGAATAATTGGTTATTTGCTGTGTTTGCTAGTTCCAAATCAGAGCACATATTTTACGGCTTATCCTGTTACTGTTAGTTGGAAGGGCTCTGGGTGTTGGATGTCTCCATCTGAAAATGGGTGCCAATAGCCCGTGCTGCAGCCCAGCCTTGCCCCCGGAGTGCTCTGGGTGTCCTTCTTTCTCCTGTCCTTCTGTCCACGCTCTGGGGACATCCCTGGCACTGCCACATCCCAGGTGCAGCACACGGGTTTTGGTCGGGAAGGCTGGTCCTGTCCTTGCCCAGCCCCAGGTGCTTGCTCCTTTGGATTTGAACAGGCTAGAAAACGACAGCAACAAAAAAATAAGAAAAAATTCACACCGAAGACAGTTTTGCCCACTTCTGAGCAAAATTAACAGCAGGTGAAAAGAAAAAAAAAAAAAGAAAACGGAAAGGTGACACAGCCAGAAATGGGTCATTTCCCTTTTTCCATCTGAGAGTTCACACCGTAAGGGTTAACCGAAGGATGAGCCAAGTCATCTCGCAGCCTCCTGGTGTGGCTGTGTGTGCTTTCCTCCCTCCAGCACTGCAGCAGGAGAACCCCAGGGAATCCCAAAACCAGGTCCCTCCTGGGGACAGAGGCCGAGGGCACGGGGAGGTGCTTGGTGTTTTGGTGCCTCGGTGCCCTGCCTGAGCGCACTGGGGCGGATGAGGAGCACTAACGGGATGCTCTCCGAGGCTGAGATGCAGGGTGTCATCTCCTGCAAAAGCAGGGTAGCAGACAGCTTTTTTTGGAGGTGCATCCCTAAATGCCCAAGCTGTTTCTGCAGGGATCTCCTCATCCCAGCTGCGGAGCTCACTCACAGCAGGAAATCTGCCTCCCAGATGTGAGGTGAGGCAGTGGCTTAGCTTCTTTAGAGGCAATATTTCTTAGTGCTGTGATTAGCTATATTCCCACGGGGAAGACTGTGTAATCATTAGAGACTGCGTAATCATTAGGAGAGCAAAAATGACTATTAGGATTTCAGTTATCCCATACCTGCTCTGCTCCTGGCTTTGCTGCCTGGCCGTGCCTCAGTTTCCCCACCTGCGAGGTGGCTGAGTTTCACCAGGACCCATACACATCTCTCAGGTTCCTGCAGCTCCTTTTGCTCACAGGTCTGCATGTCGGGGTCTGGAGGAAGGAAGGATTTTAATGCCCTCAATAGCAAAGTGCTTAGCCCCCCGGGGTAAAAGTCCTACAGGGAGATCCGGCACAGCTTAAACCCCGTTGTATCCTCTGGAGGGGACTGCTGCTGGCTCTGCTGATCCAGAAAGCCCTTCAGGCTGTGTCTGAGGAGCCTCATTGACTTCAGAGGGATTTGCACACTCGGCTGAAGTTAAGCATGTGTCTGAGTGCTGCTGCTGTGTCCAAGCCACAATTCCAGAAATGCTTAAGAGGGAAGTTGCAGCATGCTGGTGAAGTTCTGGTTTTAAAGGTATTTTTATATATTTTTATTTTTTTTGGAATCCAACTGTCTTTATTTTTGGAAACGGCCGTGCCTTTGCCCATAGGCCAATCCTGCCTGCAGGGATGCCCTGCCGGAAAGGGCTCTCTGCTGCCCTAAATGCTCACGGAGCTGCTGGGAGACCTCAGGGACGGCCCCGCTCAGGCTCTCTCCTGGTGAAACGGCCACGATTCCTCTTCCACTGCTCCTGGGTTATAAAACATCCTCCCCATTTTAGCAGCAAATGCTCAAGCTGGGCACTTTGGAGCTTGAAAGGGCTTTCTTTTGTCCCTGCACTGAATGGAGAAGGGTCACCACCCTGCCACCAGGCTCGGGGCACGCGGGGTGCAGCTCACGTTACGCTGGTCCCAGTGGGGGCAGCAGGTTGGGGATGGTGATGGGGAGAAAGCAAATCTGGGAAGCATGAATGCAGCTCACCACGGCTGAACGAGCTTCTTTCCCAGCCGAAACTGTAGGTTTTGGTCACTTGGTGTGAAATATGTCCAGCATCAATGCTCACCCCTGGGCTGAAGACCCAGGGGATCCCCGCAAGGCTTGGCGAGGGCTTGTGGGGTCCTCAAGGTCCCACCCAGGCTCAGGCACAGCTCTTGGAGCATCCTGCAGGACAAAACTACCAGGGATGCTGCTGGCTAAATGAAATCCCTGAATCAGTTGCTTGCACGCTGGCTTTTCCATTTGAAGGCAAATGAAATAATGTCCTTTGCTATTAACATTCCAGCTGCTCCCCTTGCCTCCTTTTTTTTTTTTTTTTTTTTTTTTTTTTTTCTTTTTCCCCTTTTTTAACATCAGTGGAAATCAGCAAAAATATCTAACCAAATTCTTTGTCTCGGGGCTGCAGAAGATACCATGGGTAAGTCGTCAGATTACTTGAAGTGCTTTCCTTGTAACCCGGTACCTGTGGAATGCCGTAATAAAGCCGCGATGGTCGGAGTGTAGCTTTTTAAACAATAAAACAGGGGAAGCGATGAAAGGCAACATTAAAAAAAAAAATAAAAAAGAAGAAGAAAAAGGAGGCAGACGAGGCCTCAGAGTTAATTTATGTAATATTTCTATTAAAAACAATGTCTATTCAAGACAGCAATTTAGAGTCTGCACTGCTGGCTTAAAATATAAATCCAATAAACCTCTATTATGATTCCTCCATTAGGTCAGCGTGATGGAATTTTGTGGACTTCTAAAATAAGACATCATTATTTTTCAGGAATGTTTCATGAATCACAGGCAAAGCCCCTTCATCTTCGCTTGTTTTAAATTTCAGCAATGGTGCTCTTATGAAAGGTCTACGTTTTCTGAAGCCGGCAGCCGGCTTGCTTTTCGGAACAGCATCCCCAGAGCTGAAATCCAATTTGCATAGCAGATGAGGCAAACGCACCTTAGTGGCATTATGGCCATGGGTTGTATAAATTCTGCTTATTTCTGTGTGTAGTATCAATGAGAAGAGGGTTATGTTCTTCCTGGGAGATGTCCAGCACCTGAGGACCAGTATTTTAAGTGGAAGTGGCATTTATACATTTATTTTTTTGTACAGGTGGGGATGGGGTCTGGTAGGGTGGGGAGCTGGATGGTGCCTCTGGCACTGGTTGTCACTGGGGTTTGCTCGTGGAGGTGTCTGACTTTGGTATCCCCGGCTGCCAGGAGGAAGAATTCATCGACTGGTGGAGCAAATTCTACGCTTCCACGGGAGAGAGGGAAAAATGCGGTTCCTACTTGGAGAAGGGCTTCGACACGCTGAAGGTAAGTGGCCTCGGCTGGCCCTGGCTCACAGGATGGGAACTCTCCGTGATGTTTTTCCGCTAGCTTTGGGTCGTTATTTATTTATTTAGAGAGTTTAAGGCTTTCTTTCTTCCAAGAAAAAATTAAAAAAAAATAAAAATAATTTTCCCCAGAGAGCAGGTAATTTCGTTTTTAAAAGTAGCCGTTTTATTCTGCTTTGAAAACTTGATTTTCTTTGCAAACTACTGCCTGCTAACTTCCCACTTCGCAGCCTTTAAGTTATTGTCACTTTACTAAGTGGCTGAGGAGATGGGGAGTTGCCACCCTGGAAGGTCTTTGGGAAGAAAACAAGGAGAGCCAGAGACTGCTAAGAAAAGGGGAGATTTAGGTGCCTGTTAACGAGAGGTGCCAGAAGTAACACAGGAGCCCAGGCAGGACTGGAGTGGGGAAAACATCGCCTGGTTGGAAGGAAAATGCTCCCAGCGAGGAGCCCTCTGGTGGATGAAAGATGCTCTGGGAGACCTGGGCACACTCTGGGTCCTTTTTTGATGTGCTGTAATTTTTACAGGGTTCCCAAAGGGCAGCAAGGATGTCCCTGGGGGTGGCATTTCCTCCAGGTGGAGAAGCTCGGCTCCGTTTTGCCCCAGGAGCAGTCCCTGCCCTCGCCCCCTGATTCTCCTTTCTCCTTCCCCAGGTCTACGAGACGGAGCTGGAGAACGTGGAGGACTTCGAGCATCTCTCCGACTTCTGCCACACCTTCAGGCTGTACCGCGGGCGCTCGCAGGATTCCAACGATGACCCCTCGGTGGTGGGGGAGTTCAAGGTGTGACAGCCCCTTCCACGCTTGGAGCTCTGTCTGGGGGGGGTCTTCATCCAGTGCAGGGGAACGAGGGAAACTGCTCTTCCTAACACACTCAGAGCAGCCCTTAGCCTGCTTTCAGGAGAAGGATTTATTTTCTTTAGCTGCTTTTTCGGAATTCCCCTTCTTACCCACCACTTCCTTCCCCCCCACGGTACCCAGACACCGATTCCTGCCACTTTAGGAAAAAAATCAGCTCTGGTGAATAAAACACTTGCAAATTTTCCCATTTTCTCCCTCCTCTTCCCATCCCTCGCTGAGGACGCTGCTGCCTGTCCCAGGGACCTTAACGCTGCCCTGCAGCGCAAGCCTCAACCTGACCCTTCTGGGGGGCGATTTGGGGGCAGCAAGGCTCCCAAACACCTTTTCAATGGCTCAAACAACACTGAAGTAGAAGAGATAGAGGGCAAGGACTCTACTGGGGCTCTGCACAGATTTATGACAGGGTTTGCATCAATGCTCAAGCACTGGATGAGCATTGCAGGCAGTTTTCCTCCTTGCTTCTTTCTCCCTGTTAAGTTAAGAGCCCGTCAGGCCCTGCTCTGTGCTTGTAGTATCCACATGAGTGTCCCCGAGCACGAGGCATGTCCCAGTGTGGCTGAGCCCCCGTCTCCTTGCAGGGCTCGTTCCGAATTTACCCCCTGCCCGACGACCCGCGGGTGCCGGCGCCACCTCGGCAGTTCCACCAGCTGCCGGCCAGAGGACCCCAGGAGTGCCTCGTCCGGGTCTACATCGTCCGGGCCTTCGGCCTCCAGCCCAAGGACTCCAACGGGAAGGTAGGCTGATGGGTTACGGGGTGGCTCGTCCTAAAATTTAGGAATGACGTCGACACATTGACAGCAACAAGGGGAAAACATTCCCCTTCGTCCTGCCTCCGCTGCTACATCTGGGAGTCCCAGGAGCCATCCCCTCATCCTCCATCCCGAGGGATTTTTCAGTAGGGCTAGTTGAAATAGCTAAATGAGTTTTTTTTTTTTTCTTTTTCTTTCTCTTTTTCTTTTTTTTCTTGTACCTCGGTGCCAAAGGAAACAAAATTAGGTCTCTCACATGACTGCTCTCTGCAGAGCTTTGCCGGTCTGAAAGAAAAATTCAGTGCAACAAGAAAATCGTGTCGGTTCAAAAAGAAATGTTCATCTTGTTTCAGTCTGAAAAAAAAAAAAAAAAACCCTTAGGGAAAAGTCTTTCTTAACTCTCTTTGCTCTGCTGCAAAATAGGGATTTTTTTTTTAAAAAAAGAAAAAGGTAGGAAATATTTTGACACGAACAACTCCAAATTACTTTTTAATCTGCCCGGTTTTTGAAAATGGCCTTGAACTGAGGGTTTTCAATTTCTTAGAAATCTCCCATAAGAGACTCCTGAGAATGAAAAACAAGGAGCAGAAAAAATGCTTTTTTTACACTGAAAACCGAAGCCAATCCTGGCTTGGCCCACAGCCTTTCTCCCTGTGCTCTGGTGTCTCCTGAAGCTCGTCCCAGTCGAGGGCAGACCAAAGGAGAGCCCGGTCCGTGCTCATGCTGCTGACCTCCCCCAGGGACATCCTTCTCTTCTTAATTAATCCCCAATCAGAGAAAACCGGTAAGGAGCTTGGACTGGGGGTTTTCTCCAGGCAGCATAAATCACCAAAGTTTTTCCCAGTTAATTTTTGTTTGTTTGTTTTTGATGTTATCCGAGTAAGATGCTGGGTCCCTCCAGGTGTTGGATTCAACCTAGGTGAAAAGTTTTAGGTGATTTTTTTTTTTTTACCCCAGAGGAAATGATGACTCAGGTCAATTTAACCACTTTTCAGATTTATGTCGTTTTCCCTGAATCACGTTAGTTACAAGCGAGAAGCTAAATAAATAAATAACTAAATAAAATATCTGATATAATTTTGAGATGCACAATGAGGCTTTATGTTAAAGTATGCCTCCATTCTATTTTATTTTTTAAAGTTATTGCATCATATTGGGAAAAAAAAACACATTTTGAGCCACATTTTTAATGAACCAAAATGTTTTTCCTTTGACATTTTGGTCTCTTGCGTTCGTAGATCTATTTTTGAGTAGACCCCAAAGTTAAAAAAAAAAATAAAAAAAATAATGATGACCTTAGGGGAACCCTGAGGTTCAGAGAAGGTGACTCAGATGGGTGAACGGGAACATCCTGAGGAATCCAGAGCAAGTCCAGTCCATGAAACAAGCCTAAAAATAGCTCATTTCATGCTATTTCATTACTTTTCCACCCTGTGGGCCTCAGAGGGATCTGGACACTTGTCCCACTCATCTAACTGGTCCTTTGGTCACCCCTGAAATGGAATTGCAGTGCGTCACGTCGTGTCACATTCAGCTCCCTCACCCCGGTGGCTGTTGTCCCTCAGCGTGGAGGGGACACCGAGGAAGTGCAGAGGGAACATTTCTTCTCCCCGAGGGTGGGCAAACACCCACAGAGGCCTCCTGGTGGGGTGCTGGATGCCCCGTGCCCACAGTGCCCAGGAGCTGGGACGATGCCCTCAGGAATGCACCTTGGCTCCTGGGTAGCCCTGAGGTGCTCGGGTGTTGGGCTTGTGGTCTCTGTAGGTCCTATCCAAACAAAATGAACCAAACTGAACTGTTCTGATCTATTTCAGCCTCCCCTATCCCCATCCCCATCCCCATCCCCATCCCCATCCCCATCCCCATCCCCATCCCCATCCCCATCCCCATCCCCATCCCCATCCCCATCCCCATCCCATCCCCATCCCCATCCCCATCCCCATCCCCATCCCCATCCCATCCCCATCCCATCCATCCCATCCCATCCCACCCCACTATCGCTGTGCCAATGACTTTTGCATTTATTTTTATGCCCATCTTCAGTGTGATCCCTATGTGAAGATTTCAGTGGGAAAGAAATCCATAAATGACCAAGAAAATTACCTCCCCTGTACGCTGGAGCCTGTCTTCGGAAAGTAAGTTTTGGTTTGAGTTAAGCCTGGATTCCTTGGGATTTTTATGGCATTTTGAGGGAATCGAGGTGGGTTAGCCAGAGCTTCCTCTTCCCTTGGAGCACTCTCAGCCTTGCTGAAGTGGGTCTGACCTTGGCTTGGTCACTGTCCTACCCCTCATGGTTCACGTTCATCTTCATTTTGGGTCTTCTGAACTATGAAGCACCAGTGGAGGTGATATCAAGAGGGGTTTTTAGACCTGAGATCCCCCTGTGGAGGCTTCTGCCTCTTCCCACTGATAGCAGAGGGAGTTTGGGGCAAAGCTGTTCCTCATTTAGGCACTTCACTTAAACGTCTGAAGAAAAGAGATGGTGCATGGAGGTCTGTATGATTGTACTGTGACACGGGACACCTCCAATAATGAGCCTTGAAAAATTTATTTATAAAATTGATGTTGGCTGGTTGAGTCGTTTGCCTAACTGTAGGGTCACAAAGTTGGGGTAAAAGGAAAAAAAGGTAAGGTTATCTTCAGAAAAGGGTATTCCTCAGGGCTGGAAAGCACCATGGTGGTGAGGCAAAGCAGAGGGAGGCAGAGGAGAGCCTGGTGCTCAGCCTCCACGTGCTGATCAGGGTTGGGTCTGCTCGGCAAGCTGGGGCTAGATGTAGGGTTTTGTGCTCCAGGACAAACAAGGGTCAAGCCCTAAAGCGTGTGAGGTCCCGCTGGTTTTCTTGGGGCCTCTCGCCAGCTCAGGCTGTCAGTGCTGGGACAGCTTCCCAAAAAAACAAGATGCAGAAGGAGATACCCCACGTGCAAGGTTGGTGCAGAAGGGGTGAGGATGGTAAGGGTGACACCGGTGGGGAGCACCACATGGGTTTGACAAGCTGCTTCCTCCCCTTCTGCCAAAACTCTGCCTTTCTTGTGGGGCACAGGGGGCTCTCCCCATGGAGCACGAGGGAGCCCAGGTCTGCAGGGAGCTCTGCTCCTGGGGCAGGCCCCCTCTGCCAAACCTGGCTCCCGGCCAGCGGCCGTCTAGACAGCGCGCTGCGCCTCCCACCCCGTCTTTAAAGCAAGACGTAAAAACCCAGGTCCTGGCTGCTGGCGGGCTATTAAACCTCCCGTTTCACGAGCTTTTCCCCGGGGTTGCTGGCTGCCCGCCAGCTTTAGCTAATTACTTTCTGCTGACCCCAGTTCCTCCTGCGCTCTTAATTGGTGGCATAATCACTCACTTCCCCTCCTTAAAAGCTGCTGCGGGGTGGGTGCTGCTGGTGGAAACGGGCATCGTGTTTTGGCCCCGAATTGATGGTGTTTTGGCGGCAGGTGGAGGGATTCCTGGTGGCACTGGGTTGGACCCAGACTGTCCTGCTCACCCTCCATCCCACCTTCCACATCTCTAACGTCCGTGAGCTTTGTCTGGATCGGGGTGTTGTGTTTTGGGAGGGTCTTGGTGCTTTGCGTCTTACCACCTTTTGTTTGAAGAGGTCGAGGAAGGTTTGCTCTAGTGATGACAGAGGGGACAGCACAAAATCGGGGTGCATGGGACTGGCAGGGAGGACGAGGAGGTTTTGGGGGGTCACTCTCATGCTGACCACAAGCTTAGCCTCCTATTTTAGATTTCTGCTCTTCGGGCTCAAAGGGCAGTTGGTTTTCCAAAGCTGTCATTTCTTCCCCTTTCCCACCCCATGGCAAGGAGGATTCCTGTCTCTCAGTGCCTGCTTTTTTTACCCTGGGTACTTCAGTGGCTGCTGTCACTTCCAATTAGCAGGTGGGGAAGCTAAACAGGGCCAAAATTTGCTCAAGGGTAATTTAACCACATGCAATGGGAAACCCAGAGTGTGCTTGGTTGGTGGCATGTCCATGAGCACAGCACAACACCAAGAGAACCACAGGATCATCTAGGTTGGAAAAGACCTTCAAAATCAGCCATCAGCCTCTAGTACTGCCCCAGCATGGCAAAGATGGCACATCTCCATCTCATGGGCGTCTCTTTTTTGCACAGGATGTTCGAGCTGAGCTGCACCCTGCCCCTGGAGAAGGACCTGAAGATCACGCTCTACGACTACGACCTCCTGTCGAAGGATGAGAAGATTGGGGAGACCGTCATAGACCTGGAGAACCGCTTCCTGTCAAAATACGGGGCTCGCTGCGGGCTTCCCCAAACCTACTGCGTGTAGGTATCTCTGTAGGGTTGGGTCTCTGTAGCTGCTGAGGCTTTGCAGCGCCGAGGGGACCCTGGGGACCATGGCAATGCCTCGTCCCAGCCCTAACTGTCCTAGGGGACTTGGCTGCTGCCATATTTCGCTGCAGAGATCTGTCTCGAGGGACAGATTCCTGCTGGAGAAGCCCCCCCAGTTTATACACTTCCCCCAAGTCCTGGCTCTCCTCCAGCAGCTTCAAAAAACATAAATCTCCTTGGAGAGATTTGCTACATCCCTGACACCTCTTGGGCACACCACTGCCCATGCACAGGACCAGCTGCAGGGCGGTGCAGTGGGTCTGGGGGCTATTGGGGCACCCCAACCCTGTGAGCTGGGGCTGAGCAGGGTGTGGGACACGCAGCCCCATTCACCAACAGGTCGAGGTGAGCACAGGGTCGGAGCTGGCTGCACCTTCCTCAGCACAACCCTCTGGTGTAACGCTGCTGCGGCCCCTTATTGAGGCTGGATATTGTTTTATCCCGTGCTGTTTTCCCTCCCGTTTCAGTTCGGGACCCAACCAGTGGCGAGACCAACTCCGTCCTTCCCAGCTGCTTCACCTCTTCTCCCTGCAGCACAACTACAAGGCTCCCACCTACAAGTCCGACCGGCTCATCTTCAGGGAGCAGGAGTACATCCTCTCCGAACTGGGTAAGGGGCTGCTTTGGGGCTGCTGCGGGTAGATTCCCATTATCCAGAGCCAGGGTTGGAGCTGGAGGCCATGAACACATCACGGGGGCTTTCTTGCCCAGCTCCTTTCTGTGTGAGTTGAACCCAAACCTGGCACTTTGAGCACGGATTCCTCCTTCCCTTGCAAACTGAAGACATACAGGCTGCTGCTGGGCTGAGGACCTCACGTCTCTGCATTTTGGGGCTGGGGGCACTAGAGGGAGACAAGATCATACGCACAAGTGCCAGCACAACCCGAGCGAGGTGTGCTGGAGCTGGAAAGGTGGGATCAGCCAACAAGGATGAGCTATCACGGGGAGGTAGGGAGGCATTTTTCATTTGCACAACCCTTCCCGAAAATGCCGCTCACACCTGAAGTTTTGTGCCCCCCTGATGGCATCCTTGGGGGCAGGAGCTTGACTTTTAGAGGAAACCTTGCTTTAAAGCTTGGAAATGGGTGTTGGGCTCAGAGAGGAGGCGAAACCCCAGCCCACAGAGCCCAGGAGCAGCAGTTTGGCTAACGAAGGCCACTGCAGGGACAGGAGCAGCCCAGGGCTGCTGCCCGCCTGTGCTCTGGGGACTCGGGGCACAAATTTGTGATACTCGCCTTGGGAGGAGGGGTGGGGAAGCCACAGCTCCTTCCCAGCCCCTTGTTATGCGAGAGGTTTTCAGCCAGGGCTGGAGAGGTGTTAAACCGAGCGGGGGCTTCCCCCCTCTCCCAGCCTCTGCCTTTCACCTTCCTCTGCTTTAATGGCAATCAGTTCAAAAAACAGAACAAAGTCTGATGCTTGACCTCAAGGAGATCTGGAAACCAGCTGTGTGCGCAGAGCAATGTCAGATCTGAACCTGGCGGTATAAAGTGAAGCTATTAAACACGAGAGCATGGGTTTTACAAGCCCTGCACCCGGACCATTATTCCATAACCCCCACATTTGTTGTTTTCTGAGAGGGGCTTTTTCTTTTTCCTGTGCGCGCACACACACACACACGCACGCACACACGCCAGGTTTCCACTGCTTGGGAAATGGCCCATATGTCTGAAGTTAACCACTTCAAGACATTGCCAAGAAAGGAGCTGGGATATATCACCTGAAAGTTGCCGAGCTGTAATAATATTTATGGAGCGCATTTCATTTCAAAAAGGTCCTCGAAGGTGCACGGCCTCGAAACGACGTGGCTGCGAGGCAGCCGTGCGCCGGGGCGAGTCCTGCACGGCAACGTTTGGTGGGATGAGGGTCCTGAATTGAGGGGTGGAGAGGGCAAAAATGTCCCTTGCTAATTGGCCTTGTCCAGCAGTGTGTTTGCGGAGGGATTAGGGGCTGGTGCGGAGTGGGATGAGGATGTGGAGGTGGGTTCGGGGACCAGGATGGGTGTTGGAGCTGTGCTGGCGGTGCCTGTGTTGGCCTCAGCTTCCTCTCATCTCTGTCTTCCTCCCTGAACCCAGCAGAAAAGGAGCAGGACCCTGCGGGGAGCTCTGCCACTGCGCTCCTCTCTGCCCAGCCAAAGCTCCTGGCTGATTTTAAATCGTAAAATCACCGAATCTTAGGTTTAGGTTGGCAAAGACGCATGAGATCCTCGAGTCCAACCGTGCCTTAACCAAGTCCACCACTAAACCATCTCCCTAAGCACGTCCACACATCTCTGAAATACCTCCAGGATGGGACCCACCACGTCCCTGGGCAGCCTGTTTCAGTGCCCCTTGGACAAAGCTCTGCTGGGGACGGGATTGAGCAGCAGGGCAGCAGCGTGGGCTGGAAGGCTGCTGGCCCCAGCTGCTGTAATTTTGGGGATCCCAAGCCCTTAGAAGCACTTCAAGCTGGATCAACCCCCAGATTCCCCTTTCCACGTGCTTCAGCTTGCAATGTTTCACTGCTCTGGGGCTTGCTGTGGCTGGGGTGGGATTGTGTGAGCCCCCTTGCAGGTCCCTGTCCCACGGAGCAATGGTTTGCCCATGTGTCCCCCTGGCACCACGTTGCCTTGTGCCCTTCTCCTGCTCGCTCCTGGTTGCTGCGAGGTCAGTGGGGCTCCTGCTTGCTCCTGGTGCTTCCCCTGGAGCAGCAACCCTTGCAGAGCCCTCCCTGGGTTTCTCAGCAGCCAGCCCGTGGCATGGCATGACCCTGCTCTTGCTCTGATCTGTTGCAGAGGACGGCAAACCCGTCAACCCCCACCTGGGGCCGGTGGAGGAGCGACTCGCCCTGTACGCGCTGCGGAAACAAGGGCTGGTGCCGGAGCACGTGGAGACCAGGGCTCTCTACAGCCCCCTCCAGCCAGAGATCGAGCAGGTGAGTGGTGCCGAGAGCTCAGGATGAGACCAGGAGCATCATTTTCCCTTCCACCCGGAGCTAACCAGGTGAGATGTTCTCCATGGCTTTTTGGAAGGTGCTCACGGCAGGAGGAGACGTTTCTTGGAGAGGTCCTGCTGCTCTCGGGCTGGCTTGCTCTGAGTGCTTGGGGAGATCAGCTCCATCCTCCTGGAATAGGCGTTCATTTTCATCAGCATTTGCTCACAAAAGCCTTTTTTTTTTTTTTTTTTTTTTTTTTTTTTTTTTTTTTTTGGGGAAAGCCATTTCTGATCTGAAAGCGTCGATGTAGAATTTATAATGATAATGCTCCTGCAGGCTCCTTTGGCAACGCAGCAGGATTTCTGCAGCAGGAACAAGTCCTTGGAGGCATCAAGTTTTAGTACTAGTGCAGACTGGATATTTTTTAAGCCAAACAAAAGCTAAACGGGCTTCTCTCCAAAACCAATCAAAACCCAGGTATCCGTATTTCACCTAACCCCTTTTCTTTGATTAGCGTGTACGTGGCTTTATGCCTTTGGACCAAAAAGTGCTGCTTCCCGGAGAACACCGTGATTTGTCCTCATCTCTCTTACGTGTTCCAGTTGCAGAGGCAGTTTCGTGGGACTGGCTCTGCAGCTGCTGTAACCGTGCACAGCCCGAGCTCCACCACTGCAGCACCGTTACCTTCCCGTGGTTTGTTTTTAGCCAGTCCAGTGAATTTGCTGGCAGAAGTTGGCACTGCCAAGGGCTCTAACACCTTTTCATGCAAATTCACCCACTGAAATTCAGGATTAGAGGCAGGAGGTGGCTGCTGTCAGCCGCCCAGTGGGTTTGTGCTGTTCTTAGTGTCATGGTAGTGTTGGAAGGGTGTTTCCTGCATGTCTTGGGCTTGGGCAGAGCAATTTGGGTCTGCCCTGCTCTGGTGCTGCTGATTGGGAGTGTCCGTGGTGGTGGTGCTGGGCTGGAGGGGATTAACCTGGCTGGTTCAGTAGGGGTTGCATTGGGCACAGCTCCCAAAATCATAGCCCTGACCCGCTGCAGACCCATGGAACAGGCTGGCTCTACCAGGCTGTTTGCAGCGAGCTTAAAGGGTGGGTTTTTAAAGTTTTCTGCTGAAATGGAAGATTTTCTTGCCAAAAAACAAGCAAACCACAAAGCCCTCTGTGACGGGCTGATTGTCAAAGGATGCCTTTTTTTTTTTTTTTTTTGCTTTAAACCCTTGAGACTGTACAATAAAATATTTTATTGGCACCCATTGGTGGTTTACAGTAAAAGGGACCACCTAAAAAACGACCCCCTGAGATTTCAGCTGTGTTTCTGCTGCTTTTTTCCCTGGAAGGATTATTTGAAAGTGGAATTAGCTCTCCTCATCCCACCCTCCACTCCCATGGTCAGAAACCCGTAAACCAGCTGTTCAGCTGGTGGCCACTGGTTTTACACTATGGAAAATGAGCTGCTTGCTTCTCCAGCACCTCCCATGGACCCAGCCCTCAGTCTGGCCCTACGTAAAGATATTCAGCCTTGGAGAACAAACCTGGAGTGCACCTTCAGCTAATTCAGATGACCTCTTATCACAGGCCATTGGTGTATACCCCACTATCACTAAAATACCCAGTGACACTTCTCCAGTAAAGAAACCTGGGTTTGCAACAAAGGAACCGTGGAGCACTTGGTATTTTCTGTGCTGGGTCCTATGAGGAGGTGACAGCAGGCTCACCAGGCTTCACGTCTCTTTCTTTGCTTGCAGGGAAAGCTGCAGATGTGGGTGGATCTGTTCCCCAAATCTTTGGGTCAGCCTGGTCCCCCTTTCAACATCACGCCACGCAAAGCCAAGAGGTGACTTCTTTTTCCTTTCTGACCCGGGGCAAGGCTGATTCCTGCACCTTCTCCTTGGGGGGAGGAGGAGGAGAGGGCTTGGAGATGTTGGGTGGGGAAGGATTCACCTGCTCAGCTGAGGGGTGTCTGAGCAGGCTTATCTTCAGGGGAAAAATGAGTTGAATCTGAAGTCCTCCAGCTAAATAGCTGAATAGCAAGACGGGGCTGTTGGGTGGACTCCTGACCAAGATTTCCCCCTCTCTCATGTCTCTCCTGTGTTCCTTCAGGTTCTACTTGCGCTGCATCATCTGGAACACCAAGGACGTCATCCTCGATGACCTCAGCATCACGGGGGAGAAGATGAGCGACATCTACGTCAAAGGGTAAGCCACCCCACTTCTGTGCCCTCCAGATACTACAGTCTGAAGGCACAAGAGCAGCAGTGGAGGAGTTAATGTGCAGCAACACTGCTGCGGTAGCACGAAGCCCCCATATACATAGGTTGGCTTGTTTGGGTAGCTGCTTTTTTTGGAATTCCCTTTTTTCCTTGAAACACACAAAAATGTGGCAACCAGCAGTAACTCCTCTGGCACATTCCCTTCTCTGCCTGACTCCATTTATGTTTTATCTTGTGTAAAATGGTGCAATCCCAGCCAAGGGACTTACTTATTTTGTGCGTTCTTTGGATTTATGGACAGGAAGAGGTAGGATTTTGAAACAGACTGTAAATCCCTTTTTTACAATCCCAATTTTCCTCCTGTAAATCCAGAATGCACGCTGCTTACCTGGTATTCACATCAAGTGCATTGTTATCAGCTCCAGCTAAGCCGCTCTGTGCACCTCGGGGCTCTGAAATAGCAGTGCTTGCAGGGGGCTGCTGGAAAAAGAGAGCATCCAGCGCCTGGGGAACCCCTTGCTGGGCTTTTGTCACCCCCAGTGACCAAGCAAGTCTCGCAGTGCTGTAAATGAATTAAAAATCTTGCTTGATTTCTTCATCTTCCCCCCTCAAATGGCTGCATCATTCCCATTTCTGGATAGGGCATAAATAACCCTGCGAGCAGAGGAGGCAATGGTCCTTCCATGCGTAAGTGTCTGCCCCACTGGCACCCTGTGGACAGAGGGATCACCACCACAACATGGTGGAGCTTTGGTGGGGACCCTGGGTTTGGGAGAACTCGATGGGTAAGAAGCTGTTACTCAGGGCTTTCCTCCAGGAGAGGTCTCACAGCACTCCTTTGAGGAGGCTATCGCCAGTGTGATCCCCATTTTACAGAGAAATCACCCGCTAGGCAATACCAGGACTGGAATCTCGGTGTTTTGGGCATTGTCTTTTTCATAACATGTAAATTGTTGCCTGCCAGTTGGGGAAGTAAATTAAATAGTCACTTTTCTATCATGAGTAAGACAGAAGTCACCAGCCTTTTATTTTAATGAATTAACAATGTTATTTTTTGGTAGTCTTACAATAGCATGAAAAGGTCTCAACCACGTTTAGGTCTGGTTGTGCAAGGCTGAGTACAGAGACTCCTCTTCCCAAAGCCTTGTGCTGAAGGCTGACAGAAGTGTAGGGAGACCACGTTCATTCAGAGCTGAAGATGGTTTGGATTTAAGAGCTCTGTCGGTCTCTGTCACAGGTGGGGGACATTTTTGTATTATTTTCATGGTCAGATTTCCAATAACGTTTTACTTCACTGATAGGACAGATCAGCCAGGTTTTGTGGGAGGTGGGAGACTCTTCCTATGAGGTTTTCCAGATACAGTGAGACAAAATCAGGACTGCTCTGAGCAGGTTGGACCAGAAGTTTCCAAAATCCCCTACCAGCCAACCACCACTACTATGATGTATGTGATATTATCCAGTGTCTTTAAACCTCGTCTTCATGCCTTTTGGGGTTTCTGAATGAAAAGATGGCCTTGGTCCTCCCAGATCTAACATATACTGAGCTCAATGAGATATCTGTTTGCTTCAAGAAGAAAGTCACCTCTTAAATCTAGGAACCCAACATTGCCTTTGGATATTGCAGGTACCTTAAGGTGTGTGGATTCAGAAATGACTGGATGAATTAACAGGCTAGAAATCCACCTGGTCCTGTTAAGCACAAAAACGTTACCTACATGACCAGAAAGTCTCTGACCTGCAAGTCACTGCAGGCTGGAGAGGTGTTGGGAAGGAATCGTGTTAGGGAGGTGTCATCTTTTGGGAAGGTGTCATCTTTTGGGAAGGTGTCATGTTTTGGGAAGGTATCATGATGTGCTTGCCCCGTTCCCATACTCATCCGTGGAAATCTGTGCTTGGCCCCAGTCAGAGGCAGGACACTGGGCAAGATGGGTCACCGTGATGTTTTTAGCTCTGGGCCATCGTGATTTGGATGCTTTTCCTTTCTGGCAGTGGGGAGAGACAAAACAGAGCCAAAGAGGGATCTGAACCAGACCTCTCCTTCGTCCTTTTGCTCGCTTGCAAGGAGAGGGCGCTCACACTGCATCCTCCGAGGAGCCCCGCAGAGCCTGGAGCGGCGTGGATAAACACACAGGCTGGCCATTTGCATCCAATCAGATCAAATCAAATAATCCGGCCACAATTTAAGCATTAGCGTAACCTCATCACACAATTCCCAGTGCCACCGAGCCCTCGCTGTCCGCGTAGCACGTGTGCCTGTGATCTGTAGGGTGAACTCGAGTAGACCTCCCCGTCTCCCACAGCACACTTGTATAGCTGGACAAAAAAAAAACAACTTATTTTCAATTTAGGTGGAAAACAATCAAACGAGATAATTGTTTTCATTAGAAATTCCCGCTGAATCTTTTGGCTCCCCTCCAGAAGGGCTCCAAGGACACAAACGGCTGTGCTTTATTGTGTTGTTTAGTTCCATTGATTGCTGAAGACCAAAAAAAAAAATTTGGACGGGGGAAGAGAGCAGAATGAAAACCCGACACTTGCAAAACTTGCAGCTGGAAAAAAAAAAAAAAGTAGTTGTGGAAAGTTTTCAGTTTGCCCCTGGACTGGTTGTGGAGGGACCACAGCAAGGTCTTTTAGCACAGGAGGGGAACGGGGCTGCAGCTGGGGACCCCTGGCCACAGCGGGGTGAGGCCACTCTGGGATTTTCATGGGTATGAACCCTGGCTGTTTAGGACTCCCAAACAATCATTTTCAAGGAACTGATAGAGAACAGAGGGGAAAAAATGAACCTTGGACTTCAGCGTGCTGCCTCCATCGAGAGAACAGGTTTTGGAGGCCGTGAGGTCAGTTTGTTGGGGGGGCTGCAGAGGGGAAAGCAGCTCTCACCAAGGCACATTAGAAGCTGACATGGGCTTATGGATGGGCAAGTGACAACTTTGAGCCAGAGCTTAGAGCTGTGTTGAGCCTTTAATACATCCACAAAGCTTAGGGCAGTGTGTTTGCGTTTTGCAGCTGGCTGGTTGGCCACGAGGAGAACAAGCAGAAGACAGACGTGCACTACAGGTCTATGGGAGGAGAAGGCAACTTCAACTGGAGGTTCATCTTCCCCTTCGACTATCTCCCCGCCGAGCAAATGTGTTACATTGCAAAAAAGGTGAGTGGTGCTGGACAGGCGTTTTCTGCCTTCTCCTGGTGTCCCTGAGCTGATCTGCCTGGCTTAAGACCTGCAGAAATGCAACACGCTGGGGCTACACGAGGCTCAGCCTTAATTTTGTGATGTTTGAGACGCAGGGTGGTGGACAGGTGGGAATATTGCATTTAAAAACACACTTTCAAGGGAAAATCTGTGTAAAGGTGTTGGTGGTGCTGCCTCTTGCTTTATAATTCAGCCACGAAGGGTCTGTCTCCACGAAGGAGACCCCAGCTGGAGGCTCCCTGTGCAGCCCAGGGAATATTTGAGACCCCCAGCACTCAGCACACAGCTGGGACGGGGCCAGCAGCTTTCCAGTGCCCCCCACCAGCCTGATCTGCACCTGGGCTGCAGGGATACCAGGGGGAAACGAGTCCCAGACCTCACACAGGGAGAAAAGACTGCAGTGGCCTCAGCTGGAGGACAGCAGGTCTCCTGCCTCCTGGGGAAAGTCAGTGGGCACCAAGTTGTTGCTGGAGCAGAGGGGAGCATCTGCCCCTTGTGCTCGTGTAGCTTTGTAGGGTTGCAGGGGGCTGGAGTGTGTCGTTGATGCAGAGAGGGGAAGAAAAGCTTTGGTTTGGGATTCAGGATGAATCTCTGAGTCAAAAATAGTGATAGATTTTGGCCTCCTTGTTCTTACATCTGTAATTTAGTATTGCTTCTGGTATTTCTTAGATAAGCTTAGTGCAGTGCCGTGGTGGCAAACGTGGACTGGGAGTTGCAGGGAGGGAAGAAAGCAGAGGGCTGGAAATGGGGTGGATACACGGAAAAATGGGACGGGCTCGCAAGGAAAGCATTAGCAGGGGGAAACCATTCACTTAAACCTCCAGCTCAGATCACCTGGAGGTTAACAGGCTGGGTCTATGTGGACAGCGGGGACAATCCCTGCTTTGGAGACCTGGTCTTGTTCTGTGACATTTCCTAAAGCTCAGACCCCTTCAGCCCCTCTGTCCCAAAGACAGCTCGTTGCAGCGAGACCATCTGCATCCGCACAGCTCACCTGGGACCCCCCTCCCAGATTTTTTCCTTGCTGGTCCCAGCACGGCCCGGGGTGGAACTGGCACGCCAGCGGGGAAGATGCTGAGCAAATTCCCAATCCCTCCAGCCAGACGATCCCTGCAAAGAGGCCTCGCTTCAAAATGAATTGCCGGGTAGTTAAACTGATTGACAGAATCATAGCTGTACCCATTTCACGCTTCATGTTAAACAAATCAAAAGTACAGTGTGTACTACATTCAATTATCCCCCTTTGAAAAAGCAAAGACCCCCCTATAAACCGTTTAAGAAAATACATCCCACTGTGCTGATATTGATTCTCCTCCGACCACATGTCTGCCAACACTGTATCAGAAAATAAACAGCTTGTAAAACCTCTCTGTAAAGGCAAAAATAATGAATGAAAAGCCATGCTTTGTATTTGTGGGACACATTCCGCTCTGGCAATTTTTGATCTCGCCATGTGCTGTTTGAACTCCAGGTTCATTACTGCTGCTGTAAAAGCCCATGCGCTGAACTTTAAACGCAGGCGATGGAAAGTGGAATTTAAATCAAAACGGTCAGATGGCAAATTCTGAGCTGCTAAAAGCCACCTGCACCCAGCCTGCCTGGTGTTGGCTCTCCGAGGGAGCACTGCCGGGAGAAAAGCAGCTTTCAATTTGCTCTCCTTTGTTCGCTCCGCTCGCCTCCTCGCTGCTGGGGTTCCCTTTGGCATTAGAGGATGGAGCGCGGGGTTGAATCACCCCAACCCAGATTGGGAAATCATCTCCCGGAGGAGCAAGGATGCCCCTGAGCAGGGCAGTCCTCGTGATGGTTAGTTGTGGTGTGCAGTCCTATGGGGAGCTGGAGGCCCACAAACCCTGGGGAAAAACGGGTGCCACCTGATGGAGCCAGCCCCTGCAGCCTTGGGATGGGCAGCAGTAGCCAGGATTGTTCCGTCCTTGCCACAAGGTTTGGAGAAATTCATCTCCAAAACTTCAGAGCTCTGGGATCCCTTGGGGTTTCACAGCTTTGATTTTTCCCACTGCACCTCGAGGGAAAGTGGGAGCCTGGAAATCCCACAAACAGCAATTCAACTTACGGACTGGAAGTGTGGGTTCCTGTCCCTGCTTCTCTGAACTTGTTAGCCATCTCAGAATGTTTTTTTCCAAACACATCTTCTCTTGATGGAGTAAAGTTGTAAAGATTTTGCTTTGTAAAGGAATTTACCCCATTCTGGATTTCAAAAAATTCCCCAAAAAAGAGGAATTCAATCTTTGGGATAGCTCATGTGAAAATATAAAAACGCACGTTTCTTTAAGCATCCTCTGTCAGTATTTATTCGGAATTACCTTCTTCTGTTCCCCCTTCTCATTTTGCCACCTCTCTAGCAGCCATGGACAGGTCAGACCGTGCCGTTCGTGTCACCACAGCACTCTTGCAGCTTTCTGTGTCCTTCAAGAGCCCAGCTTCATAGATTTCAATCCTGCCACTGGTTTGGTGAAAGGGCCAATGCACAGCACACGTTGGGGCATCACTACATTGCAGGGGGAGCTAGGGGAGCAAATAGGTTCGGTGTCCACATCAACTCGTGGAGGGGCGGCCCCGGGTCCCAGACGAAGGACAAGGTTCTGCTGCCAGCCAGCAGGGAGCAGGGCAGACGTCTGCAGGGTTTAAACCTCAGATCCCCAGGTCTAAGTCTGGCAGCTCTCGACTCTGGCAGACGATGTTATCAGATGGTCATGGTGCAAGCAGAGCCTACGGAGAGCGCCGCCGAGATGGGCTGGATGCGGCTCAGGTTTCTCCGGGCACCCCGTCAGAGAGGCGCTCAGCTCCCGCGTCTCGCAGGCGCTGTGGAGGTGGAAAATGCATGAAATTGATTTTGAAACGTTCGGCTGCAAGTGCCAATTACAGCGGTAGCTGCACAGAGCTGCCAAGTCTGAATTTGAGATGTCCTCCAGGGCAAAAAAAAAAAGCTTGACACCGAATGTCTCAGCAAATGTCATCGGCATAAATGAACACCCGGGGTTGAATTTCAAGAGAGCCTCAACACACGAGTTAAAAAATCGTGGTGCTTGAGAGGACCTGGAAATAAACCATTGGGTTGGAGTTTCGAAGACCTGGCTGGGGGGTTCATGCCAGCTGAAAAGCGTTGCAAAAAAGAAATTCCATTTGATGAGCAGAACGAATACGGGAACATTGTCAGCAATTTCAGCCCCGTGTCGTGCCATGCCACCGGCAGGAGCCAGACCAAAGCACAGAGCTGTTGTCTTCGTTCTTGTTCTGCTACTAGTCTTTGGGGTTTGCTGTCAACAACAGAATGAAGAGCTAATGCCAGAGCAGAAAATGTGCTGTTTTGTGAGGGTGAAGAGCCATTGGAAGGGGAAACATCCCGCTACTGTGGAAGAAGCTGCAAGCATCAGGCTGCTTTGTTCAGGCTGGGACAATTGTGGTGAGGCTCTGCTTCAGGGAGCTCTTGCCTTCATCTGATTTCTTCCCCTGTGTGCTCTTTGCTGAAGGGGCCCATCCCAGGTTTGAGGTTAATTGCGACCTATTTGGGTGCAAAAGCAAAGTGGCTTTAAGTTGGAGGTTTAAGCTGGCATGGTCATATAAAACCTAATTTGGATTCCAAGTTGGTGAGCCCTGCAGCCTGCCTTGCAGAGATGCCTGCTGGGCTTCACGCCACCTTCAGCCGCAGAACTGGGAGACCAGTACGAACTGGTGGAGGTCAAAGCTCACTGGGAGACGTCAGGGGTCGGGCACAGAAGTGGCAGGGGAGGAAGAGGGCTCTCAGTGATGCTGAGTCAGCAGATGCCAGGAGGGAAAGTTAGGTGGTTGAGTGTGCTGTGCTGCCTGGGACACTGGGAAAATAAATAAATAAATAAAAAAATCAACAATATTCCAGAAGGCCAAGTCCAGGGGAATCTCTTCTTCCAGTTTTAACTGCTTCTTAAAGCAGGAGGAGGTGCTACAGTCAGCAGGTGCTTCAGGCAAGGAAATCCTTGCTTGCTTGAAGATGCTTTGTTAATAATGAACAGCTCCAGGGACAGATCACGGTATGGAAGTGGCAGAAGCGATAATACCAAATAGATGTGATTCGTGTCCTCAGACAGCTGCGAAGCTGGGAAGTGGAGGGAACAGCAGGTTGGTGAGCTGTTGGCCCTATAACCCTGCAGGAAGATGCTTCCCTCCCCATCCTTTTTAAGAACTGATGCAGGACGTGTGAGTACCAGAGCAGGAGCTGCTGGAAATGATGGAAGCATGGCTGGAAATAGCTGGTCCTAGAGGATAATCCCAGGAATAACCCCGTGGCTGTGAGATATTGCTGCTGCTTGCACATATCTTTGAGTAACTGAGGTCCCATCTGTGTAAGGTGCAGCTGCTGCATGCTGTAGCCTCCGCGTTTGCTGGCTTTGGATCTGAGTATGACAGCAAACGTGACGTTTGGAAGGCCTTTAATAAAAACTGGTCGGCTGGTGGCATCCTAGAAATCACACCAGCGACAGGCTCCTCAGGAAAGAGGTAGGTTTGGGGTCTTAAACCTGCTGGGGAAAAGCGGGGCAGAGAGGGCAGCAACTCCCTGCTCCAAACGGTGCCGTGAATGGAGCTGAGAATAAATTCCTCACTCCCTGGAGCTGCTGCTTTCCCAGCTCCATCCATTCTGCTCACTTTTCGGACTCACTACAGCATCCTGACACCTTCTGGGCACTGATGGCTCGGATTTGTGTAGGGCCAGAGCCTCAGCTCCAAGTGCATGGCTCTGGGCTGGCTGAGAGCACGTGGGCAGCCTTGACTCGGTGTAGCTGTCAGACAGAGCAAGAGTTTAGCCCTGAGGTACGTGTGTAGCCTCTCCGTTGTTTAATTTCTATAAAAAAATAGCCAGGAGTGTGAGGTTCCTGCAGCTGAATTGCTGCATTTTCCCGTTTTCCCCTGGTTCTGTTCTGTTTGTCACTGACTCTCCAGGGTGCACCAAGAAGTCTCTGTGCCCTGGCTGGTTTTGCTTTGAAATTCAGCGTATCGAGCACTGATTTTTATGAGTAATAGATAATATTTTGCTGGATTGAAATTTTCATTCCTCTTTGGTCTTAGGAAGTGAAAACAAGATTATTGCTTCTGAATTTGGACTTTTTCCTTTCTTGGTTCCCATCCTTTGTCGTGCCCTTCCCTGTTTTCTCAGGGACATGAGAAAGCAAAGCAAAACGCAGCGTGTTTGTTTTCTCTCAACGTATAGCCAACATGCAACGTTTTGAATGTGCTCCAAGTACTTTTTTCTTTTTTTTTTTTTAAAGAAAATTTAATTACACAAGTCAGGCATAAATCAGGTATTTTAATGGGGCCAAAACCAGCAGACACAATGACACAACAGAATTCATAACACACCGAGGGCAGCAGTCGTGTCCTGGGATGTGCAGGCACCCTCTGTGACATGCTGCTGGGAGCTACCCCTCTAAATTTTGCTTTCTGATGGATGTGTGGAAAGGGATGAGCAAAGCGTCTGATTGCTGTGGGGCCAGGGCCTGGAGCTCTCCTGCACCAAAATGGGCCAGTCTTGCTTGGCCATTCATGCCTTTCCCCCTCCCCAAAAAAGCTGGGTTGCTCCTCACTTTGTATTCTGCAGCAACAAGCAGCCCAGAAGAAATGCAGCCCTGTCAACACTTTCCTCGTGATATGAGCTTTTTTTTTTTTTTTCCCCTGCCTCCCCTGCTGCATTATTCAAGACCGTAAAATATTCACCGGCCTCCCCTCTCCACCCCCCACCCGATGCAAAACAAACCCCCCAAACAATAACTCAAGCCCCCTTCCCTTCCCACGTCTTGCAAAAAAGGCTAGGAAATAAATTTCTGGCCACGGCTTGTTTTTATAGGGAACCTTCAGAGCTAGATTTAATCACGGAGGCAGCTTTTCACACCGCCTCGAAATGGACCCATAAACTTTGCTCAGCATCAAATTCCTCCTTTCCCCAGCCCGCCCGCCCAGCTCCGCTCCGCCGTGTCCCCGGCTTCACGGGGCTCGGAGGAGGGAAGCTTCGCCACCAGCCAAAACCACATTTACAGGCTTTTTCCACAGGAAAGGCCAACGCTGTAGAGAGCTGCTAGCGTTGTACCAGCTCCGCGTTGCCACCCGGGATGGGGCTGATCCTGCCCAAATCATCCTTGCTGGGGCAGGGGGGTCCCTGGCAAGCTGGGGCGCTGCTCTCAGGGCAGAAATGGGGTCGCACAGCACCCCAATCCTTTTCTGGGTTGCTGCTCTTTCCCCATCAGGGCTGGCACGGGGCTGGGTCCTCCCAGGGAGAACTTTTCCTGGGGAGCAAAGCTATCACTGGTACCCCTGGCTCTTGGAGGGGCTGCTCCAGTGCCGAATTTCGCTCACGTTCGGCTCCAGGGTGGATGGGGTGGTGCAGAGGGAAGGTCCAGGGTGTGCTCCTAGAGGTGCTGGCAGCAGCGTGGTGATGCCCTCGGAGCACGGACACGGCTGGATGCTGCAGGTGGTGGTGGTGGAATCAGCCTCCAAATTAGGGACGGCAGCGCTAGAGGGGACGAGGCACTTGTAGGATGCTTCGTCCTTTCCCAGCCTGAGCATATGTGGGGTGCCTGGATCACCCCTGAAAGGCTCTGTCCCTGATCAGAGGGAGCCTGTGCCTCCAGGAGCTCACCACGGGAGATGTCCTTTGTCCCCCATCCTCTGTCCCCCATCCTCTGTCCCCCATCCTCTGTCCCCTATCCTCCTGTCCCCCATCCTCCTGTCCTCACCCCCAGGAGAGCCCCCGGCCCCCAGCGATGCCATCTGGCTGCCTTCTGCTGGCACAGCTACCTGGTTCCTCGGGGCTTTCTTCTCAGGATGACTAACAGCCCTTCTGCAGAGCAGGACCCGACCACTATATGGGAAGAGGAAGAATCACCATAAGCTCTTTCCCTTTTTAGCAGTTTTAATTTAAAATGAGTTATTAGCTGGGAATACGTGGCCCTCCCCCTCGCTTGAGTAAACACACGTTTTAATACATCTCGGCGAGCGGTGGGGGAGAGATGGAAGTTTCCATTGACTTTATTTTATTTTTTTTTTCTAGATTATAAAATATTTAAAATGCATAAATAAAATGCTCCGCTGCAAAAATGCTGGCGCGTTTTTCCTAAGCAAGGCTGGGAACGGAGCTCAATTGAAATATAACCGTTCAGGGTGATCTCTTAAAGTCAAACCAGTTTCAATGGGATTTAAGTGCCTCCCTCCACCCACAGTCTCCCTAGTCGAATATTTATGTTCTTACGGAGTGTGACACGTTCTTATTTTTTTTTTTTGTCCTTTTATATATATATATTTATATATATTGCACGATATAATGAATCAGTCTCGTAGCCACGGCAGTGAATTTATGGTGCTCCGTATGCGTCGTGAATAATGCTGGAGTTTCCTGGTTTTAATTAAATTTGTTCTCTTTACGATACTGCCCTGTCGCAGGGACACACCTCTGAGCGTGTGCTGCTCCTCGTTGCACGCGTTGGCTGGAACCAGGAATAACAGGACCTCAGCTTTGTGCGCGTCCCTGTCCCGCTCCCTCTGTCCTTACACGTGGTCCTAACCTTCAGGCATCTTCTGGCATCCCAAAAACGATACGGGATCCCCTTTGGGATATATTACTGGTCGCACAGAGCAATTTTCGTGGGATGGACAAGGATCCACCAGATGTTATGATGGTGTGACCACAAGCCTGCAGGCACAGCAATGGGATTCCTGAGATTCCCCAACCTCCTTGTTAGAGAAACCTGGTTTAAATGTTCCCCTCCATCGGCATTTTGGGGCGTGATGCTCTGACTTCCCAAAAGGCAGATTGCACCGTGCAAGGGCTTGGTAAATTAGGATAATTGCAAGGGACGATTCCAGTGCGATTTTCATTCCAGGTGCTTTGCAAACAGGCGTCTGGGACTGCTGCAAAACCTTTCCAGGGGTTGTCACAGCAGGTCTAGAGGCAGAAAATAGACAAAAAATGCCCATGGGATAGAAAAGAGAAGTGCATATAGTCACAGACCTCACATTATTATAGACCTCAACCTCGGAGGTGAGCAGAAAAGATGAATAAGGTCATTTGAGAACTAAGGAACTCATCACTCAGTGAGCTGATGTGGAAGCCTCAATCTCGGTTATGTTATGGGATTTCCACGGCTGTGAGATGAGAGTAGCCTGGCTCTGCCCGCGTCTGCTAATGAGCCTTTTATTTTTTCCCTGGTTTCTCTTCTGGTCTGATTTTAGGAGCACTTCTGGAGCTTGGACAAGACAGAAAATAAGATTCCGCCGCAGCTTATCTTCCAGATCTGGGACAACGACAAGTTCTCTTTTGATGACTACTTGGGTAAGTCAGGAGAGGTTTTGGGCTCCGTCCCCACCGAGGCAGACACAAAGGAAACAATTACTGAATCTTTTTAGGACACAAAGAATGTGCACAAGACCAATTTAAGCCACTGAGCAGGATCTGATGACAGCCTAGGCTCAGGACTGGGGATAACTGGTTCCTCTCGGGCAGATTCCCAGTCTCTGCCAGCAGCAGCCTTTTCCTGGGCTGACCTGAGCTCTCGAGAGCATCACCAGCTCCAAAAGGGCCCCAGTTTCCACGAGAAGAGATTTTATCCTTCTCAGTGAAACTGAACTGAAAATAAAACAAAAACACCTAGTAGGAAAGAGCGGAGCCATGCAGTAGATTTTCTGTGCAGAAACTGGAGGCTCCAGCATTATTATTATTATTTTTTGGTTGAACGTTGTTCTACCTTTCTTTGTGCCACCCCCCAAAAAAATCAAACATCAAAAGCTTCACTGGGGTAGTATGTGATGAAGATCCTTTCAAATCCTCTCTTTGATTAATTACGTGGGCTGAGTGCCAAGCTAACCTTTCACAAGGTGTGTTTTCACTTCTGGCTTTACTCATTGTGAGTTTTTGTTCACTCACCCCTATGACTGCCAACGGTGAATTCTCTGCAAATTTCAGCAAACAAAATTGGCCCTTGGCTTTTGTAAAACACATTTCATTAAAGGACCTCAAAAGTGAGAAACTGCAGCACAGAAAGGGTAAAATGCAAACAGGCTCCTGCTTGTGCCACCCAGCATAAAAGGCTGCTGGCTGTCAGCTGGGCACCAGGAACAGCCCCTGTGCTTGTCCCTGGCCCTTCCCAGCCGAAAGGTAAATTTGTGTAACTGGGAGTTAAATGCTGGCACTCTCAGCTAACGCTTGAAGAACTGAGCTCAGATTTCCTAAAGGCTAGAAAAAAAAGTGCTAATTGTGGGATTGTTCTTTGTACGAGGAGGAAGCTGTCGTTTTTGTGGGATATTATTCTTAAATATTTTGCTGCAGTTACCAACCTTGGTGTGGCGATAACATAACCTGCCTAGAGATCTGTGAGCCTCCTGACCAATATTCTACTTATCTGCCCTGTGGATGTGGACAATTTGAATTTCACCTAAATCTAGTCCTCTCTGAAAATCCTAGCCTGCCTTGTTGGTGCAAGCCATCCCATGTTATAGCTGGGTACAGTCAGCAGATGTTTTACAGCCCCTCCTGGAAGGACTTCATGGCTCAGATCTTCCGAATGGTGATGCTCCCACAACGGTGATGCTGAGTGCTCGAGCTGTAGGCAGAGCCACGAGCTAAACCCAGTGCTGTGCTTAGAAAATCGAACCAGACTGAGCCTGCTCCCCCCCGTGCTGTGTGGGTGTCTGCCCAAGCTGCCGGAGGGTGCTGCAGCGGGTATTTCTTCAGGGGAATAGTCCTTGGGTTAAGGACCTGTTGTGCTTTTCTCCCTGCAGGCTCCATTCAGATGGATCTCAACAGGATGCCCAAGCCTGCCAAGACCGCAGAGAAGTGCTCCCTGGAGCTTGTAGATGAAAGCTTGTCCTCAGGTCGCTTCGTGTCCCTCTTTGAGCAGAAAACCGTCAAGGGCTGGTGGCCCTGCGTTGCTGAGCAGGATCAGAAGAAGACCCTGGCGGTAAGGCCTTTTGCACCCCTGGGTGTCCTCTTTGTGCTTTGTCTTTGGGGACTTGCTCAAAGTGTTGAGGAGGAGCACGGCCGGGCAGGCACATGGGGGAAGTCATGGCCAGGGCAGGGAACCCAGTCCTGGCCTGCAAATTTGGCAAACCAGACCAGATCCAAACTGGATTGTTTCCAGGATTTGCTCAGCAACATGCAAACGCCTCAAAGTAAAATTGTTTGTTCTGTCAGATTTTTAGCTGCAGTTTTTGGAACACGCCACCTCATTTGACCTCTCCACGACTATTCTTAATGCTCTTGTCTTGCGACAAGTACAAGGGAAGGGGTTTGACTGTCAGAGATTCACCTAAATCCAAGTGTCCAGGCTCCAGCTGGAGTCAGTGGGGGCCGTTTGATGCAGGTGAGGGAGGCCAGGCAGCAAATTAAGTCATTCACCAAAACTCCCTGATTCAGTTGCCTAAACTTGGCTGTCGATGGTACCTGAGATGCTCTGGGATATCTGCTGGGATCATCACATTGGGCAGGTGAGGGATCTGTATGAAATTGCTCTTGCTGAGCTCCTCAAGGTCTCAGGTAGTGGCTGTGCTACGGTCAAAGTGCTTTTTCTTTCCCCCGTTAGTGTTTTGCAACATGCCTTCATTTCCCACCTTTCTGCTTATTTATATCCTTGGTTTTGTTTAACCCCCGCAGGGCAAATTGGAAATGACTTTGGAAATCGTGGCCGAACAAGAGCATGAAGAGCGGCCAGCTGGCGTGGGTCGGGATGAGCCGAACATGAACCCCAAGCTGGAGGACCCCAAGTAAGAGCATCTTCGGTGGAAAAATAACCCCGGGGGCACAGAGTTCTCAAGGAGGAAGCTGAAAAGCTGGGTTCCCAGTCTGAGGTCTGCCATCTGAACGGGGTTTGCTCCCACGTAGGCTCTGCTGATGCTCAGATGTATGAGCTGAGACAGTCCAGGGGGGCTGGGAGGCTGGTCTAGACCTCCAAAAGAGGCCATTTAATGTAGTCCACACATGGGGATGTGGGTTTCCAAGGGGTGCAGCTAACTCTTACAGAGAGGAGTGCTCCTGGGGTTGGGATCCAGCAGGATGAAGGTACCACGAAGCTCAGCAGTGACCTCAATTTATTTGGCTGCAGGCGCCCAGAGACCTCCTTCCTGTGGTTCACCTCCCCCTACAAGACCCTGAAGTACATCCTGTGGCGGCGGTACAAGTGGGTGCTCGTCCTGGCCATCGTGCTCTTCATTTTGCTGCTCTTCCTGGGGATCTTCATCTACGCCTTCCCGGTACGAGGGGGCTGGGAGAGGAGAGCTGGGAGAGGAGAGGGGGGCTGAGCAAGGTCCCGGCTGCTCCCCCAGCTCTCCGAGGCTGCTCAGCTGCTGTGCTGACAGAGGTCCTGGTGTGGGTGGCTCCAAAATCCCAGGGAACAGCCCTGTGACATGCCAGAAGGGGGTCAGTGCTCCTGCTGTCTGCCCCTGGGTGCTCCCATCCTTGTGTTTCAATCCCAGTAAACCCAGAGGTTAACTGGGTGTTTCCAAAAAGGTTTGAGCTGCCAGTGTCGGAAGCGTTGAGCGCTGGTGGGAAAATCCCCGACGAAAAAAGCAGCCTAATTAGAAATACAGCCATTTTACAGGGCTGAGCAGTGGCAAGAAATGGATGGGGCTGTAATTGCTTAAAGATGCAGGGGAGTTTAGAGGCATCCAGGCAGCCCCCTCGCTCATTATCAAGGCTTGCAGCACGTTATCCCAATGTAACATCTGAAACGAGAGGGAGGGTTTTCACCTCATTAATCAAGCAAGTGGCTTTTTCTTGCCTCGCTGTCAGTTCCACTGGCAAAACAAAACAAATAAATAACGGAGCCCTGGCCTTCCCATTTGGCTTGGGATGGGTTTCTCTATCCTCCTCTGTTTCTACAGCACTGGCATAATTCATGCCGGCTCTTGGATGCTTTTTCCCCTCCTCCCAGACTGATAAGAAAAATGACCCGCCTCGCTCTTTCCAGCACTTAACAAATTCTGCTCCATGTATATGATTTTTTTTTTAAAGAAAATAACTCATTGGGGTAATTTATAACCCCGTGCGAGAGAACGTGGCTGCTTTCTGCAGATGGCTTTGTGCGCTCGCAACGCGCAGCCGACGAGCGAGGTGTGGAATTTCTCCTCGCCGTTGTAATCACTTTCAGATGAGCTGACCTTGTGCATGCTTGGCTGTTCCCATCTCAAAAACGGGATGGGATGAGATCACGGCTCTCCCCGTATCCCTGAGCCTTTGTGACCAAGAAGAACTCAGAAAACTTCAGTGCTCCCCTGAAGCTGCAAGTGGCTTTGCAGCCGTTCCGGTGGTATCATATAAAAACAATGTTGAGAGAAGCAAAAAAATCACAAACTATAAATATTGATTTACGCTCATTATTACTTGGGTTTTTTCCCCGTTTCCTGGCTAAATGTTGTTGTATTTAATTTCATTTTGGTTGGGTCAATTTTTAGTCATATTTCGAATAAGTGAGGCCGTGTTTCATGGAATTTTTCAGTTTTTATGTGTTTGGCCAGCTTCCCCTAGATTTTTGAGGTCACTGGTCCTGTATCTACCCGGAGATTTAGTTGCTTTCCCATTTCATCCAGCAGTGCACTTGGCAGGAGCGCTGGTGGTGGTTTGCTGTGAAGGGTGCCCCTGGCGTGCTGACCTTTGGCAGAGCTCACCATTACATCCCTGATTTAAATGCACCAAAAAGCAACCAAAAAGCAACCAAATGCACCAAAAAGCAACCCCTCCTCACGTCTTGTCTGGTTTGCGTGCTGGTGGCACCGTCAGGCCCTGTTTAAAATCAGAGCCGTGCTCTGCTGGGTGCTGTCTGCGTGGTCCTGACCCCGTGCAGGGGTCCCATGCTGCAGGTGGGGGGCTTTGGGTGCACCCTGTCCCCCTCCAGCTGGGCAAAGGTGGTGGCAGGAAGACCTCAGGGGAATCCCATTAGGGTCCACGGACCCTCGGTCTAAGCAGGCTGGGGGCAAAGACCCCAAAGGGCTGCTACAGGGGGCACCCAGAGGTGCAGGTTTTCTTCTTCTGGTTCTCCTCTCCTTTTTGCTGTGATTTTGTGTGAACATCTCATCTGCAGCTTTCTGCTTCTTGGGAGCTTCTCCAGGACCTCCAGGGTCCTTCCAGTGGTTGCTTCTCAGGAGATGGTCCTCGGCTGGGCAGGGGTCTGGGAAATAGATGCCCACCACGTGTCCTGGGCAAGTAGTGGTTCCTCTGGCATCCCAGAGAGATGGGAATCTCACCTGAAAATGAACCCGGGGCATTTTCATTGGCTTCTGGTATAAAAATAAGTTTTTTTTAATTTTTATTTCTTCCTATCCCTCATACAGCGATGAAAGCCTCAAACCACAGTCGAAGTAGCTGGGAAGTCAAAGTGTTTGAGAGCCTCGTGCTCCCACCTGAAGCAGCGACAGGCTGTCCATGATCCCCGACAGTAGTTCCCAAATCTGTGGGTCCCAAAAGCTCAGGTTTTTCAGTGAATGTGAAGAAAACGATATCTCAGTCTTGTTCAGAATAATCATTGAGCAGTGTTGTACACCCCCAGGAAGTATTTTGCTCACTGGGCAGAGAAACAAAATATTCTGCAAAATTTAGGGCTAATTTAGGGAGTTGGAAACCTTTGAAGATGGTTTGTGCTTTGAATCAGAGAAGGTCCTGAGTTGAAGTGAGTGAAGAATACCCCGTGCAGAGGTGAGGAGGGTCTGGGGGAGCTGCGGGGTGATGAGGAGGTTCACCAGGACCCGTGGGGAGCTGGGAGTGCTGCGGGATGGGGAATTTAGGCACAGGTTCCTAAGAAATGGTTCGTTGTTAGTGCAGCTGTTTACAGAGCAGCTCCTCTGAGTGGGCGAGAGGCCACTTCCAACTGGAAGGCCTTTTGGGTTTGGGTGGAAAACTGCGTGGTAATGCAAATTTCCATAAAAAAGACTGTCTTGTTTTACAAAAACGGCAAAAAATGTTGACAATCCGATATTCTGAGGATCTTCGCTTTTAAGTGGGGCTTTTCCACCCGGTCTGAGTGTCAGGTTTCTCGCCGGCTTGCCTCAGCTCTCTTTGCAGAGTGTTTGTCATTGTGGTCTGGGCGAGTTGGGGCACTGGGAATGGCATTCCCTGGATGCTTCCTCCGTGATTTCCTTAGGCAAGGCCTTCGATCCAACCTGACATCAAGAAACCCTTTCGACAACAGACATATAATGCGACCCAGAAGCTGGATGTCAGAATTAGAGGACACTAAGTTTGGAAATAGGATGCTAATTTTTGAGACCGGGGTTAATTCACCATTGGAACGGTTTGCCAAAAATTGTGGTAAATTCTTCATTGCTCCAGGCATCCACGTATGGAGGTTGAATGTCTTTCTACCAGATAATGCCCTAATTCCACCCCATGTCCCTATCCAGCAGGACATCGGTGGCATGATGGGGGCCTTTTGGAGAGGATTGCTGACCGTGGTGGGCTTTTCCTCCACTGGTACCACCACCAACATGAGCTCTGCCTCTCTGGGGGAACGCTTAGGGAAAGTCTCGGGATGGAGCTGGACACAAAATCAGAGCAAAAGGTTATAAAAGTCCAGCCTTGGCTTCTGCAGCCCCAACGCATGGGGAATATTGCGGTGAAGTTATCTCCCCGGAGCAGGGATTATTGTAAAGATTTTAGTGGCTACCACCGTAGAAAAATGTAGCGCGGCTTCCAGCTGGAGGCAGCTCTGTTTTGCAGCACCATGAAAATGTTTACTACCTTTTAAAGCTCTGTTTGTGTTCTGCAAGCCCAGCGTTGCTTCCATTGCCATTAATTCTAATTACAGCTTGCTTTCTGCGCTGATTGATAATCCTGCTTGGCTTTCAACACTTCGTTAATACAAATTCATAGCTGGACAGAAAACTTGCTACCCTCCAGAATGCAACCAGTCAAATCATAAAAAATAGAAGCGTTTTGGAGGAGAGACTCCGAAAGACAAATGGATGGATAATTAATTCGAAGGTTATATTCCACTGGAGGCTTTTCTAATGACTTCTGGTAAACTGCCCTAAGTTTCCTCGCCTGATTTATGGCATTATTAGAAATCCTCAATTGGCAAACTGCCCCATAATTTGCTACACGGTGTAATTTATCAAGATGCTTTTGCTCAGGCTTTACTTGTGTTGTTTTTATTCTCTCCCCTCCTCCAAAAAGCTTGCTGGTAAACCAGCGTTATGCTTTGTTTCCAGATACTTTTTATTTTTTTTTATTTTTTTGTTAAAGCACCGGAGTGATAGAACATCCTGTACCAATTAACTTCAATATGCTTGGGAGGCTCCTTCCAAGCTGGCTAGTATGTGGTCGCGGGTGTTTGAACCAGAGCTACTTTAAATAGAGCTCTTTCCAAACAGCCCAAGCATGTGTCTTTGTCTGTACTTTTCGCTGCGGTCTTGATAAGAGGCATTTACACAGCTTAGCCTTTTTTTTTTTTTACAGCGTTGTCATCTTTCAAGGAAGGAATTACACGTGTAATAGGCTAAAATGCCGGAACAGCTCATTTTCCATGGCAGCCCCATGCTTCAGTGCACTGTAACAGGGGCAGCAGAGATCCCAGGAATGGTCACGGGAAGGTCTTGCCTGGGGTGTGCGCGCTCAGGAGCCAAAGTGCACCAAAGGCTGGTGCTGAAACAGAGGGCTGAGACGTTGAGGGACACAGACAGGGCAGAGAAAAAAAAATCCAGCAGTGGGTTTGCCTTCAATGATTGCCTTTGGCAGACTCCTTGGAGGCGGTCCATGGACCCGCAGGCTAGGCTTGTGCTGAGAAACAGACCCAGGATGGTGCAGGGCTGGGGGACCGCTCTGCAGATGTCCTGGCACAGATGCCTGGGGACCAGGGCCAGGGCCCATTTCCAAGGGTCCACCCCAAACGGGCAGAGCAGACAAGGTCACCTCTTTTGGGGGACAGCGAGCCTTCAGGATACGAAGGCAGGGCTTGAGTAGTGAGTACAGGGATCAGAGAAAGGGGGGAGGTTGCAGCAGGGCACCAGGAGGATGCTGGCGGGGAGGTGGCACGTTGCTGCAAGGAACGGAGATGGGGAAGTCAATCTTTCAGTTCTAAACTGAAAGAGGGAAGATTTAGATTGGGTATAAGGAAGAAATTATTTATGTTGAGCGTGGTGAGGCACTGCACAGGCTGCCCCAAGGAGCTGTGGCTGCCCCATCCTTGGCGGTGCCCAAGGCTGGGCTGAATGGGGCTGGTGGAAGATGCCAGGGTTTGGACCTGATTTTGTTTAAAAGTCCCTTCCAACCCAAACCATTCTGTGATTCTGTGATTGAGTGATCTTAAAAACTGGTGGAAGGTGCAATCAAAGTCCAGGAGTGACTCCTGGTGCTCGTCCCTCTCCCCTGTCCTGAGCACAGCCCCCCTGCAGTTCTGTACCACGATCCAAAACATGCTGTGACGTCCACTTGCTGCCCTGCTCTACCCGCTTCAAATCAGCTTTTCTCTGCCTTGTTTTTCCATTCCCCTAGAACTACGCTGCTATGAAACTGGTGAAGCCTTTCCAGTGAAGCTGTGCTGGCAAACGCATGAAAGGTCCGGTGCCTGCCTGGGGATTTTGGAAGGAAGCTGCGGCTCTGCGCTGGATCTCATCAGCAGATGGAGCTGGAGATGGGGCAGCCTCTCTCCAGCCCAGGCTGCTGCCAAAATGAAGACACAACTTCATGACTTTCCCCGGTGCAGAATTCCACCTGCAGCACTCACCTCGGAAGCAGTGCGTAAACAAGACCTACTCTGAGATATTTCTTATTTTCCTTCCTTTTTTTTTTTCTTTTTTTTTCTTTCTTTTTTTTTTTTTTAAGTTAAGCTGTTCCTGATCTTGAAAGCTTGAACACCAACGCAAAGCTGAAGAGGGTGGGTGAGAAAAGGACCTTTTCGTGTATCGCCCGTGAGCACACAAAGATGCAGCAGACCTTAGAGGGGGAGCTTTGGGCTGCTGGCGCGAGCAGCGTGTGCCTGCTAAAATCTCTCAGGTTCTGAGCACACTTTTCTTTGCACTCCCAACAAGCCTTAGTTTTCCTTTGCCGTGTAACGTGTATTATCTGGTTTATAATATATAAAGTTTACCAAAGATGGAATGTGCTGCACAGCCTGAAACCCTGGGCTCTTACGTTGCCTTCCCAAAGAGCAAAAGCCATGAGACAGAGGACCCAGGGGAAAGGCTCTGAGATCCCAAACCGGGCTTGGTGGCAATTGCTAAATCAGAGCAACTGTTGAATTTTGCTCTCTTGAAGGACCGCACAGTCTGGCCCACGTGTTTTGGAGCTTCTTTTTCCCCCTCGGTGGCTCTTTCCCCTCCAAGTGCCTCCCTTCCGAGCCAGTGCTGCGGTGGCAGAGAGCGCGGGGCCAGGCTGAGCCCTGCCCCGAGAGCAACTCCAGAGCAAAGCAGGGCACGGGGGCTTTGCCTTCCTGCTTTTCGCTGCCAAATGCAAGCCCTGCAGCTACAGCTCAGTGACATATCGGTCTTTTTTTCTCTTGTGCTCCCAAATATGCTTAAGCAAAGCAGTACAAAAAGCAGACTGCAGGGCAAGCTGTGAAACTCTTTCTGCTTTGTGAACAAAATATTATACTGAATATTCTGCAGGTGTTGCCCTGCCACAGAGCAGCTATGGCAGGGCTGGGATGGCAGCACTGGGACATTTCTGCTGTTCCCTATTCCCTCCTGCCCATCTGTCTCTGCTGCTGCAATCCCATGGAGCGATGTGGACTGAGAGGGACTTCTGGTTATTAACAGCTCTGGCTCATGTCATGCTAAGATGCTCATCAAAACAGCATTACTCTTGAATTTTCATCCTGCATCCTCTCACCCTGCAAGGAGCCATCTCCCAGCACGGGGCCACCAAGTGGGAAAGCAAATGTCCCCATGCGAGACAGCCGTGCTGCTGCTCTGCCCCTGCTCCGTCCCCCCGCAGGACCTGGGTCTGCCTTCAGCAGGACGAGGCACGGCTGCCTCGGGTCCTTTTGACCCCAAAAGCTCAGCATGACACGTGAGAACAAGTAGCAGTGAAAAGTGATCCTGGGGGATCAGAGTTCCTCAGGACAAACTGTGCTGCTGGAAGCTCCTGCCCCGCTCCAGCAAGGCACTTAAGCCTGTTCTTAGCAAGGAGGCAGGGAACAAGCACAATGCCTAATTGCTTTGCTGGATGGGGATGCGATGCGTTGAGCATTAAATCCCTTGTTATTCAGTACTGTAACAGCACCCAGATTGTCCGGGGCAGCTCTCTGCCACGTGTGAACACAGCGTTTTTGACATGGAGAGCATGCAGATATAAAACCTGTCCTCGCTGCGGAGGTTTGGCTCATCCAGCATCCTCCTTCCAAAAGCAGCTGGTGCTCAGCTGGTGGAGTCGGCTCTGGGCTTTCCCACCCCAGGGTGGGTGTTTCATTTTACTAGCACAGTTAAATGCTTCATGTTGGCATTTGTTCAGTTTTTTCCCAACCCTTATTCGCACCCACACCCCATTTATTAGCCGCTGCCAGGCTACCACGTCTCGGTCATTTTTTTCTGTGATGCTTCCCTGCTGAGGATCCGGTGAGCTGAGGGCAAATGGTGCTTGGGTTTGTGCCTTTCTGAACGAGTTATAATTCTGTGAAAATGCTGAAAATGCTGAAATGCTGGTGTGGTTGGTCCTTGCACCTCATCCACCATAACCCAGCTCTGCCCAGGGGTCTGGGTATCTTGCTGCCTACCTGCATGCCTCGCTCCCCCATCTGCAGTGGGAAATCAGGCCTGGTATTTCATTTCTTTGCTTCACTTTGCAGAGTCTGTAAAGTTTCCCACCGTGGCATTATTGCTCCATGACCCTCACCTGTTTCAGAATCACAGTCTTGGTGCCAGGACCCCCAAAGAGACGAGTGACCCAAGCTTGAGTTCAAAGCAGTGCTCATACCTGGATGCTTGCCATCCAGCCTGCCACAGACAAGCAACCCTACCCAAACTCACCCACGTGCCACCTCCCAGAGCCTCTCCCAGTATGAAACCTGATTTTATTTCCCAGACCCTACCAGCAGCTCTTCCCTGGCAAACCAGAACGGGTTGTCAGTGGTGTGAGACCAGGATCCAGTGGAAAAGGAAAGGGTTGCATCCCCACATGCCATCCTCCGTGTTCCCAATCTGGGCTCTGGAGCTGATTTTCATGCCAAGAAGACTCCGTGGGCCTGTGGTGGGCAAAAGCAGGTCTGAGCATCTGACAACATCAGCTCAATCTCTTTTTCTTTGCTGCTTGAACAGCCACAGCCATCTGTTCGCCTGGCAGGGAGCCCTCTGTAGCTGGGTTAAGTCTCTCCACCGAAGCCAGCCAGGGGTAGGAGCTGTGTGAAGTCCGTCCTGTGCCTCCCTGTTATTTGGGATTTGGACAATTTGGGGTTTGGATGATAGCCGGATGATGTCTGTATCACCTGTCTATGCCTTATATACAATAACGCGAATTTCACTGTGGTTACAAATGAAATGCTCTGAAACCTTCTACCTCCTTGTGTGTTTTTTTTTTGAGTTGATGGAATTAGGGCACCTTCCCTCCTTGTTGTGGGGATGCAAAAACGCAGCTGGGAGGACCAGGACGGGGTGTGATGGTCACTGTGCTCCTCCTTTCTCACCTCTTTGCTAATGTTGCACAGGAACAGAAGCTCCCTTTTTTTTATAAACCCAGGCACCCAAAATAAGCCTGCTAAAAGCCAGGGGTGACTGGGGAGAAGGTGGAGGGCTGGGGAAGGGGAGAGGGCAAGAGACTCACAGATTTCACACTCCTGCAGCAACGGGGAGGGCAGGTTTAGGAGGGGAGAAGGTGGAGGGGTCAGAGACGCCCAAGCATTAATTCTGGGTTTTTTTTTGGAGCTGGCTGTGTCAGGGAGATGCTCCAGATGTGCTGGGGAGACTGCTGATGAGATTGGGGCCATTTGGGAATCCCCAAATGCCTTTCCTTTCCCTGGCAGGGTGCAGGTGGGTGCTCCCTGCTTTGGCACAAGACACCCCCTCCACTGCACCACATTTTGGGATGGTGCCTGGGATGGAGGCAGGCAGGGGATGGGGGGACCTGAATGCCCTAGGCTTTGTCTGAGGAAGATGCAGGGCTTTGAGCGGGCACTCTGAGCCAGCAGCATCCCAGCCACATCTCCCCAGCCCCACCACAGCCTCTGACAGCCCTCAAGTTCTGGGGGAGAAAGTCCAGGAGGTCCTGGGGGGGAAAGGGGACGTGTCCCCATGCTGAAGGCACGAGAGGGGGGGTCCTCACTGGGGCAGGAGACGGGGGGATGGATCTCACGTCCCTGCCTGTGCCTGACCGTCTGTGGGTGAGTGCAAAAGTGAACTGCAAAATGTTCCATGGCTTAAACGCGTTTGTGCCGCTTGATTTTCTATTATTTCCTCGGCCTTCAGCTTGATGCTGCGTGTAATTGAAGGCTGGAGATGGGAAATGCGAGAGCTCCTCTGGGGCGGCCGTGACAGATCCTGGCCACGAGACGAGGAGCGGGGGAGCTGCCACCCCGCACGAGGCTGAGCCCCATTGATCCAGAAAAAGCGTAGCGAAATTGCTGAATTGTTTTTTTCTCCTCAATAATGACAATTCCGTATTAATCTCCCGGTCTGATTTGCTCAGAAGAGAGAGGTTTTCACCCAAAACGGGGGCTGGTGATGAAGCTGCTTGAGTGGGCAGTGGTGCAGGCACAAAGGGCATCTGTAGAGAAGATTGTTGTGGCCTCCTGGCCCCCAAAGCAATAAGATTCAGGGTGGAAATAGCCTTGAGTGACAAAACTCTTTTGGTTTTAGCTGAAGGTATAGCCCCTAAAACCACTCCCAGATTCCAAAGGGTGTTTGCTGGTCCTGGAATATCCCCCCTGGTACATGAAAGCACAGAGAGGGTTATGATGAGTCCAAAAGCTGCTCTGTTGCCTCCGGAGCTCCCGGACAGACATCCTGAGCTCCTCGGTGACCCTGCAGCACCGTGCCACTGCAGCTGGGGCAGCTGCCAGCCCCGTCCCTGTTGCTGTGATCTGGCTTTGTCCCAAATGAGCCAAATTTTGTGTGCTTCGGAGGCGACCCGTGGAGATGTGTGCACCGCCTGCTGGGCTCCGCTGCGCACTGAGCGGGGATGGAGACGCTCGAGCAATGGGGCGTGAAACTGCCGTGTCCTCGTCTCCGCCGCGCATTAGCTTCCAGGAGGAAAATGAGCTTTATTCGCCCCGTCTGCTTTTCCCATTCCCCCAGCCTCCTCGAGTGAGCAATGCTTTAAGACGCGGTGCAGGAGGCCAGGCACAGCCCCAAACTCCCTGCGCCTTTGGGTGCAGCTCGGGCTCTCCGTTTGCCTTTGGTTTTGCTCCAGGGGGAGACCTCGGCTGCTCTGCTCCATGGCACTTGGTGGCTCCGTCCCTGCCTTGGAGCAGCGTTAGGGCTCTGTCAAGCGGGGAAAACGGGTCATGCTGATAGGGGTGGGGGTCCTGGCCCCAAATCCTGCAGCTCCTGGGACCTCGGCATCCTGTGCATGCCTGACGCTGCCCTCCAGCTCTGCTGGTGGAGCCGGTGCTTTGCTCAGCGGTGTGAAGCTGTGAGGTTGGCGTGGGGGTGTTACACTGTGAATGGCTTAACTCCATCACGGGCTAAATTTTGGGGGTGAGAACCCACATCCAGCAGTGCCTTTGGGTCCTGCCCGCATCCCCGGTGGGGTGAGGAGGCAGAAGTGTACCCCAGCCTGCTTTTCTGCTGGAAAGCTCCGGATAAGAACTACCTGATGTGATAATTACTTGGTGCTTACAAACATTTTTTACAATTATTAACGCTGTGATAATAAAACAGTCATGCTGAATTTGCTGGAGTTACCAGGGGCTCGGTCTGGAGTCAGGGATCTGAGGTGCTGGGAGCTTCCCATGCTGCATAAAAATGACCACGGTCTCCATAAACGTGAAATAATCAGTTTCCCTCAGGCAGTGAGCTGAGTGGGGACTGGAACAAGACAAGGGCACAGCTGTGGCTCTTCCCCACATGGGTATCAGGTTTTCCAGCTCTTTGCAGCCCAGTTTAATGTGAGTATGCAGCGCTCGTTCCTCCTTCCATGGGCACCTGCTCAGCCTGACATCTCCCGCAGCCCTACACGTTGTGATATCTATATGGCTTTTATTTCAGGCAATATACACATCATCCAGACTATGGGGTGATAAAGTGGTCCCCATAGCTGGTGGCTCTGGCTGCTGCTGCTTTGCTGCACCAGAGGAGCCAGCACTGAAGGTCTGACACTGCCCCAACCCCGTCTCTTGCCCGGGGCGCAGGGCGCAGACAGGCTGTCTGCTCCCACAGCCCCCAGGGGAGGAAGGGGCATGGGGACCGTTCCCCCCCCCTGGCAGCACTGGCAGCACTCGGCTGGTCCAGGATCAAGACATCAAAGCGTCTTGTCTTGCTTCACAGTCCTGGAGGAGTCGTGGTGTGTTCAGCCCCTAGGAGCTGATGGGACCCAGCTGAGATGTTTATCTGTGGTTGAGTGAATCCCATCAACAAGTCTGGAGAGCATGGGCTGAAAATTTCTTATCCCCTCGAACCATGACTCTGGGATGCTGTGAGACACAACAACTGGGGAAGGAAGAAAACATGACTGTGGTCCTGGCTGGCATCCTTGTACCCTCCTGTGAACTTGGTGCCATGGAGCGAGGCAAAATCTCCGAGCAGACCCTGAGGGGGCTGAGCTTTTCTGTGCAAAACAGGGACTGTCCCTCACCAAGCTGCAAATATAAAGCTAAAGGACTGCAAAACAAGCTACACAAAACACTCGGTGCTGATGGGCATTACTACCCCTCCTTTGGCATTTCTCCACCCTCCTGCTGGATCGGAGGCAGAAGAGATCAAATGGCTGGAAGGTGCTGCCCATGTGCTGTGTTGTGAAATAATTGTGCCAGGAAAACATGAAAGTTGACGATCGTAGGTCCCACACTTTGAAGAGAATCAATGCCACACCAAGGAGAAGTGCCTTGTGCTGTCTTTCCAGCATGTCCATGGGTTTTCAGGCACAGAAATGTCTCAGCTGCAGCCACCCAGCCTGCAGGCAGGACACCGACGTGCTCCGTGCCTTAGCTGTCCACAGCCGGAGAGCTCTGGTTTTCAACATTTTAGCAAGGGCCTGAAGACAGATTGTAGACAGGGTGAGTCAGTCTGCTCTGAGGGACGAGCGGGGACGTGGAAACAGAGGGACTTTCAAATCAGAGGTCAGGTAGGTTCACAACAGAAATGCTCCTCTAAGTTGCGTGTGGCCACGCTATACCTTCCCTCTGCTGTCCCCCTCTCTTTGGTCTTTTCCCACTCTCTGCTCCATCCTCTCCTCCTTTTTCACTTGTGGTTTGCCGCCAGCTTGCATCCAGACCTCATCAAAGGGCGCCATCCCGGGAGGGGTGGAGAGTTACAGCCCCCAAAATGAGGAAAGCCCAGCCTTTGCAAAGCTGGCTTTCCTCTCCCACTTCATCCTTCGTTTCAGAACATGTGTGAAAGAAATTAATCTGTTCTCCTGCCTCCTGACGATGGGACATTTTTTTTTTTTTTTAATTTTATTTTCCTTTTTTTTTCTGGAAATAGCATAATTCCATGCTTATGAAAATAGGAGGCCAGGGTGCTTAAACTGGATCAAGTGCTCGGGGCTGGCCCTGCAGCCAGTGGAGGAGGCAGCATCCTCTTCCTCCTCCCCTTGTTTGGCCTTTGGAGCAGGCTCAGGGTTGTACTTCTGTCTGAGGCGAATCCAGACAAATAGGATTTGGTGGATATGGAAAAGGGGAAAAAACCTGAACAATCAAGAGATTTATGGTTGTTGTTTGCCAACAAAAACACAGCGGGAAGAGTCATCTGCTTGCAATGTTGATGGCTGTAGGCTGGAAAACAAAGCCTGAATTGATTGTCCTCCTCTACAGTCCGCAGATGATAACTGGCACCTGCCAGGATGAGTCACTGCAGCTGAAGAAGGGGTCTCAGAGTGGTGGGATGGATCTGTCCAGGGACTCTAGAGGGAGGGGAAGGTCATCGGTGTGGCTTTGCCATCCATCTCTTCCACGCTGGAAGGTTGGTAAGATGCCTCCCAGCCCAGATCTGGTGCAGTTTTCCTCACCACAGCATGCTGCAATCCATCCCTTCTTCGTCACCCAGGGGCCCAAGAGCAATCTAGAGTCAGACTCCTCATAATTTATTTTAGAAGTTATGCAATCTGAAAAAAAATAATAGAAAAAATAATATAAAGACTGCATTTTTTTTTGTTTCTTTCATAGCTGTCTGAGTCATTGTGGATTTGAAATTCCAAGATTTTCTTTGCAAGTACAAATACTAAAAATACACATTTTTACACACGAGAACTGCCATTTTGACATCTCCTTCAACTCCAGCACCATTTCTTTTAAGAAACACCCAAAAACCAAGTCTTGTAGGCAATGGATACAGCTGGTATCAACTTCCTAATGTCTTGAACACAGGAAACCACACGGTAATGTCAGAGACCTTTACTAATCC